CCCCGCAGGGTGTACCTCCATCTCTCCTGGGCCAGCCCGCAGCCCAGGTGGTCTCTGCTGGAGGGCGCAGGGCTGGGAGGCCTGCGGCTTGGGTGGCCACACAGGGAGTGGGCAGCGGCAGTGTTTATCCAGGGCAGCCCCTGGCGCGGGAGCCAACCACCTGTTTCTGCCTGTCCATGGGACGTGTCCCTCGCTTTGCCCATGGAGGAGCCGCAAACTGCGGTGCTGGGGTCGTTGGTGAGGGGCAGACACCCTAAAGCCCGCCTTTCCGGCACCGCTGGCTTCTGGGTGGCATGCGTGCCACTGCCGCCTGCCCCCCCCCCCAGTTTTCTGCCCTGAGTGGCAGATGTCCCCCCACAGGAGCTTGAGGTGTCCTAGAAACCATGAGCTCGCGTGCAGGGCCAGGCTGCGCAGCTGGCACAGCACGGCCACTCTCTGTGGCATTTGTTCTGGGGAAGCACTTGGGCACCCGGCCCTGTCATGCACTTGGCCAGGTTCAGGCACGCGGTAGGTGCTGAGTCACCGTTAGCTAGTACCCCACTGTGATTTCTGGCGCTGTTCCCAATTTTGAGTCTGGCCTCTTGCCTGTGTCTGAGAGTGGGGAGTCTCGCAGGTTGAGCGGGTCTGCCCCAGCCTCGTCTTTTCAGATCCAGAACTTGTCTGCGGCGCTCCCAGGGTGCTATCCTCTGGTCTCCTGTTCGGGGAAGACTTGCCATAGTGCCACATGCCAGCTGCTCGGCCCTCTTGCTGCATCTCGCCATCTGCCCTACAGACCCAGGCCGAGAAACTGGCTGTAGACAAGGATTACTCCTCAAGGAGAATTTGATCGTAATTTTGTTCAAATGTTCTGATGATGTTCTGCACTGTCACAGAATTGCTGTGTTCATTGGTTTGTTCACCAAACATGTGCTGAGCACCCAAGCAATACCAGGCACGAGGGTCCAGCGGGGAGGGGATCTGTCCTCCGGAGGAGCTCACGTGCAGTGGGGGAAGCTGGTATTGATCACATCACGCAGAGAAGTGTGATGGTGACGAGGCGAGGGGTGAGAGGTGACTGCTGGAAGGGTCAGGAGAGGCTATGGGAGGGACACGGTCTGTTGGGGGAGTTGAGGAGCAGAGAAGTAAGAGTGCCGGTGGGGGGAGTCCCAGCCCCAGCCCCAGCCCCAGCCCCGGCTCCAGCCTCCTACTCATGCACACCCTGGAAGGCAGCGTCGGGTACCTGCCACCCACAAGACCTGGACTGAGTTGAGATTCTTGGCTCCCCTCACCCCCACTGCAGGTGTTTGGGGCATAAGCTAACAACAGTTGGGATCTCTTTTCTGGATGTCTCAAAAATGATTTTTTTTTTTAAATAACTGAAAGAAGATAGGGAGTGACTGGAACCCAGGAGAGGGGGGAGCGAAGTGGGCAGTTGGGTCCCAGGCCTTGAGGGCTTCGTTAGCCAGTGTTGCCTTGTGCCCCTGGGAAGCTCACACGTATCTGTCATCTGCGCAGGTGGCTGTGGCTCCAGCAGCTACCGCTTTCCCGATGCCCAGCCAGCTTCGTTACCACATTTTGTCCAGGCCTCTGGCCATCAGGTGCCCGTGGGGTCCCAGGTTAACCCTCGTCCCCTGGGCTTCTCGGACAGAAAAAAGTCACACAGCAGACGTCCCTGCCCTGCTGCCTGCGCGTCTTGGGTGAGGCTGTGCTGGGGGACAGGCGTCTGACTCGCTGCTGAGGGGGATCCCCTGGGAGACTCTGGCACCCTTGTGGCTCTTCGTGTATTTTTAATTTTTTTAAAAAAATTTTTTGACAGGCAGAGTGGACAGTGAGAGAGAGACAGAGAGAAAGGTCTTCCTTTGCCGTTGGTTCACCCTCCAATGGCCGCCGCAGCCAGCGTACCGCGCTGATCCGAAGGCAGGAGCCAGGTGCTTCTCCTGGTCTCCCATGGGGTGCAGGGCCCAAGCACTTGGGCCATCCTCCACTGCACTCCCAGGCCACAGCAGAGAGCTGGCCTGGAAGAGGGACAACCGGGACAGAATCCGGCGCCCTGACCGGGACTAGAACCTGGTGTGCCGGCGCCAAAGGCAGGGGATTAGCCTAGTGAGCTGCGGCGCCAGCATGGCTGTGACTCAGGCTTAGGCATGTTCAGTCCTCCCAGGTACTGCCAGGTAGCTTTCCGGAGTGACTTAGCAAAGGCTCCCATTACGATCTTGGCGTCTCCTCTAGGAGCCACTCTAGGGATTCAGCTTTGCATCCCACTTCGGTGGTGCCCTCCACACCATATACCCCCTTCCGTCCTAAAGGCAGGTGTCCCGCTTGAGTTCCAGGGAGTGGCAGCACCGTCAGTCAAAGGCAGGCCTGAAACCGGCTCCCATCTCTAGGTGTGTGGCAGCGCAGAGCCCTGAGCTCGGGGCACTGGGGTAGACCGAAGAAGTAGAAGACTGCCTTGCACTGGGCGAGGGGAAGGGGGAAAGAACCCGCTGGGGAGGTGGTGGGAGCGCGTCCTGCTGAGCTCTCCAGAAGTCCTCCCCGCCCCATCCAGGCAGTTACCCTTCCCCCAGGAGTGAGAACCAGGAGGGCAGCCCTGGCCTCTGGCTTTTCTGCACGGGACTGTGCACAGAGTCCATGCGCAGAGAGGCTCTGCTCCCCTGTTACCTTGGGCTGATGTTATCTTCACATTTCTCCTTCTTCCCAGCACAAGTGTTTGTTCGCTCAACAATGGTTGGTGCTGGCCCTGAGGCCCCTGCCCGTGGCCTACTTGTGTGCAGGACGGAGGGCCCCACCTTATCAGAGCTTTCGCTGCAGTCCACAGCAGGGGATTCCCCAAGCCCGACCCCCAGCCCAGCAGCTGCAGCGTTACCTGGGAAGTTGTTAGGCTGCAGGTTGCCCACCCGACCCCCGCCTCCTGCCTCAGCAAGTCTGGGTTTACTGTGCTGCCCTGTGCTCGGATACACCCTGCAGTTGAACCATTGGTCAGGGGTATCGTTCTCAGCAGGTCAGCCCCCAGCCCCACCCCAGGACGTTTGGAACCATCTGGAGACATTGTTGGTTGTCATGCTGGGGAGAGGGAGGAGAGGACTTGGCCACTAGCGGGTAGAGGTCAGAAATTGTGCCAAATGCTCTGGGCTGCAGCGGACAGCCCCACACCAGGCATCCGGGCCAAATATCAGGCACGCAGACGTTGAGAAAGCCTAGAGCGGTTGCGACAGAGGACAGAGAAAGCCGTAAGCCTTTGTCCGATTACTCTAGATAATGCCACTCCCAGGCCACATGCCCAGGGCCCAGGCACTGCCTCCTCCTCCCTTTCCCCAGCCATGAAGTGAGGGCACCGGGCCCGAGGCTGCTGAGTCCCTTCCCAGCTTCCATGTCCCATGGTGCTGACCTGTGGCATTTCCGCCCTTCTCTTCCTCTTGGGGGCTGGGAGGCTGTGAGCAAGGCCCTGAGAGGGAGGGCAAGGCTCTGTCACCTGCCCAGTGCCCCCCCCTCCACCCTCCCCAGGCCTGCTCACTGCTGCCGGAATCCACCTGGCCTTGGGTGTCCCTGTGAACCGTTGTTCTCTCTTGGTTCGGGTGATGTTTGTTTCTGCTGCCCAGCTCCAGGGAGTCCACCCTAGGTCAGAGAGTCACCTGCCAGCTCCACAGCCCTGCTGCTTTGCCCAGGAGCTGAGCAGGCAGGGCGAGGCTGTCTCTACTGAGCCCCCAACCTCAGTTTCCACTTATTCTCAATAAGTCAGCAGCCCTGCTGAGGGTGCCCCAGGGCAGCGGGCCATCGGTGGAGTGCGAGGGGTCTGTGGGCGGGGTTAAGCAGGTAGCAGTGAATCCCTGGGATTTGATTGGTTGGACTCCTTGGCCCTACCCCTTCCTGGCTGGGTGACCCACCTGTAAAGAAAAGGTCTGATTTGTTGTTTCCATTTTCTGGGAGAAAATGTTCCAGCCTGGGAGATGAGGTGGGGCAGACGGCCTCAGTCCCTGTGCAGTGGTGGCTAGGTTGTGTCCTGGCCGTCCCAGGGAACAGATAGGAAGGTTTGAGGCTGCTAGCAGGTTCTGGGGGTCGGTGACAAGATGGGCAGAGCCAAGCCAAATGACCAGTGACTGCCAGGGACCCAATGCTTTGGCCACAAACTCAGATCCTCACTTGCTGTGCAAATTGGAGCAAGGCCCTTGGCTACCCAGATTCTTTGTGTAGATAAGTGAAAAGGAAACCAAGTTCCGTGAACTGTGACTCCTTAGTGGGCGGATTTGCATTTCCCGTGGTTCCTGACATCCCTTAGAAACTGACCGGGAGAGAATCCACACCTGCTGTCACACAGGGCTTGTCTAGAACACCTCCTTCGAGTGAATGAGGGCTGCTACCAAGTGGCAAATAAGCAAGCTGCCCTAAAGCCTGCTCTCTGATCTGATAGCAGTGGCTTTAAGGCACTGTCCTGATTCTCTTAATTAGAATGCAAGAGAGAGTTTTTAAATTTCTCTTTGCATCTGCTATCCTGCCCTCCGCTTGAGCTGATACTGCCCGGGGTGGAGGCCGGTGCTGTGGCGCAGTGGGTTAAAACCCCAGCCTGCAGTGCCGGCATCCCATATGGGCACCGCATATCCAGCTCTCTGCTATGGCCTGGGAAAGCAGCCAAGGATGGCCCAAGTCTTTGGGCTCCTGCACCCTCGTGGGAGACTCAGAAGAAGCTCCTGACTTTGGCTTGGCTCAGCTCTGGCCATTGCTGTCATATAGGGAAACATCTGTCTCTACTTCTCCCCGTAACTCTGTCTTTCAAACAATAAATAAAATAAATCTTAAAAAAAAAAGTATCCAGGGCAGTGCTGGCATTGGCTATCATAATGCCCCTTGGCCTGGATTCCTGATTTTGGGTGGGACCAGAGCACTAACCATTTCAGCCCTGCCTCCCTGGGGCCAACTGGGTTCAATTTGCTGTTTGAAGTCCAAGGGAGATAACCGACCTGTGCGGACATCAAATCAGCTGAGTCAGCAGGACTGTGCAGTTATAGAAAGGCGGGCCCAGGGCCAGTGCCTACAGTGCTGTCTCGCCTCTCCCGCAGCTCTGCAGTGTCGCCGTGCGCAGAGTTCCACAGCTCTGCTTCCCAAGCAGGTGAGCAGAGGCTGACAACACAGCGCCTTTGTGGACAGGTAAAAGCACCCTGCCCAGGGAAATGGGGAAGATGGACAGTTACAAGGGGTCTTCAAAAAGTTCATGGAACATGCATGTTATGGAAAAAAAACACTAGGAATAGATTTCAAAAAAAATTTTTTTGCACCAAAATAAGCATATCTTCCAATCCCATTTTTCCCACAAACTTTTTGAAGTGCCCTTGTGTGTCCATGGGGAGGTGATGGTGGTACACTTGGCCCACTGTTGTTCCTTATGCCTGCCAGCTGCCTTATTTGCTTCCAGGGTCTGTGCAGTTGGCGCAGATACTGGTGGAATGCCTTGCTGGGCTGGGCATTGTGCTGGAGTGGGGGTTTGAGACCAGGACAGACCTGGTCCCTGCCTTGCTGGGCTAGGGTCTCTCACCACCCACCTGCCTGCCGGGTGAGCAGCACCCATCTGCTCCCGCTGTAGGGGGCAGCCCGGCTCTCTGCCTCCTCCTACACACTACCCAGGAGCCCCGCAGTCACAGCACACGGAGCCTGCAGGGTGGTGCTTCTCCATCTTCTCAAAGGGGCGGAGGGCCTCTCTGGGCATGGAAAAAGCCCGTGCAAGTTTTCTTTTCTGAACTCTTTGAAACAACAGGACTTCATCTCCAGCAGCCCTTGGCTTGTTCTTACTGCAGGAGAGCTGATCAAAGTAGCTGGGGCCGGCACTGTTGGCACTTGGGATCGTGAGATAAGAGCCATGGCCCACAGTCTGACTTGCCTGGGGATGGGACCCACATCCCATACCACCTCTCTGGTGGAGATGTTGGAGACCGGCTCCCTGGCACATCGGGGACTTCAGTAAACATTGAGTCAGTGAGACCTTGAGCCAGTTCAATGTTTTACAGCCCAAAGAGGTGTTAGAGGCTCAAGGCTGGGTTTACTGGGCCTGGGTTCTGAGACGTGCACTTGAGAGTGACTTGGAGAGGTAGGGCTGGGGGTCACCTCTCGAAAGCTGCCGTGATCTCACTGTGGGATGACATCTCCGATTGAGGAGAGGGGGCTTGGTTCAGAGGAGGAGGCTGGCTCTGGGTGGCATCAGCACGGAGGAGGAAAGTTGCGACGAGGGTGGGGGGAGTGTGGAATCAGACTGGGCCAGGGGCTGCACGGGGGGCTGGGAGGTCGGTAATGCCACTGACAAAACGGTGTTTCCGGGCCAATTTTCCCGGTCAGAATCCCGCTGTGCTGCAGGAAGGGGGCAGGTGCCAGGCCCTGCTGGCTCTCTGGGGAGCTCTGTGGGTGGGATTTCTGGGGATGACCCTGGTCCTGAAGCTTAGGGAGGCAGCTTTGGGCGGCAGCAAGCCTGGGGCCTCTGTAAACACCCAGCAGGGTTGGGACACGTAAGTTGGAGCAAGCAGAGGGCACACAAGCGGAGGCTCGCAGGCAGGGGCCTCCAGGACCAAGCTGGGCTCCATGCTGGCTGCCCTGCCAGGTCCTGACCTCAGACATTCAGCGGTTACCTCCCTGGGATGTGGCAGTGCTGGGCTGGGGTCCTCACCAGACCTCCTGGGAAGCAAGTCCGGGGAGGAGTGGAAAGGAGGGCAGCTGGGTGCCTGTGAAATGGCAGAGGCAAGTCCCTGGAGGCGGGCGGTAGATGAGGCTTGCCTGGGGCCCCGGGGGTGCTGGGGCGAGACAGGAGGCCATGCTCAGGGTAAGGATTTCTCTGTGGTGGCGCAGATATTCCGAAATGGGCTTGTGGTCGTGAGTGGATGGGTGTGCACTGCATGCTTAGATGGGTGAGCTGTGCAGTAGGCACCATGAAAAGTTCGTGGGAAGTGGGATTAAAAGCTAACGTGCATCTTGCATCAGGTTTTTGAAGTGCCGTCGTATATGAATCAGATTTTGGTAAAGTGTCACACAGCTCAGATGCCCGCTGTGCCTGGGCTTACTGCTGCCCAGCTGAGTGTCCTCTCTCAGCGCTTCCAAGACCCCCCTTTGCCTCTTGGATACCCGAGGGGGTACAGGCCCTGCTCCAAGAGAAAGGGGCGGAGCCATGAGACGCCATTGCTTCTCCTGGGCCGGCCACTCAGAAAGTCTGTCCCTCCTGCCCCAGGGGAGGGAGTCCTCTCGGAAACTTCTGGAACAGAACGCCCCGCACAGACTGTTCAGAAGCCAACGTGAGCCTGTGTTTTCCCAAAGTGATTAATGATTGCCATAGCTTAGTTACAGTGCTGTGCCTTCTTCTGTTGTCCATTTTTAGTGTACCATACCTGAATTCTGGGATAAACGTAAATCAAATTGGGGGTTGAGTGGGAGAGAAGCTGTGGAGGAACAGGTGGGGACATGGACTCTGCGGCAGGGGCTGGGATGGGGCCTGGCCAGGTGGCGCCCATGGCTAAGGGCTCACCCCTTGACTTGCAGGAGCCATGTTGCTGGAACTCCTTCTCGCCTCGGTGCTGGGCTTCGTCATCTACTGGTTCGTCTCTGGAGACAAGGAGGAGAGTCTGCCACTGGAGGATGGGTGGTGGGGCCCGGGGTCGAGGCCCGTAGGCCTGGAGGACGAGAGCATCCGGCCCTTCAAGGTGGAGACGTCGGACGAAGAGATCAACGTGAGGCTCCTTTTCCAGCAGGCTGGGATTGCGCCGAGACCGCGCTGGGTGGGGGAGGGGATGCGGCAAGGGGAGCAGCCCGTCTCAGCAGTGTTTTCTTCCCCACTTCACCCAGGTGCAGCTGCAGGTGCAGGTGGCTCCAGACAGGCGTGCTCGGCTTCCCCACCCTTTCCCCTGCCCAAGGCCAGCCATGCCCAGGCAGGAGAGGGAGCGCCAGCTGGCCCCAGCTGCCAGCTTCAAAGGTCGCAGGAAGCACCTGCTTTCACCTCCCCTAAGCCCTACCTGAAACCTTGGGAGTGAACGTGCAGGAGAAAGTGAGCGGGTCCCCCACAGGGCCCAGGCAGAGATCCTGTGGGAAAAGCGGGGCCTTGCGGGCAGAAGTGCTGTCTTGCTGAGAAGGCACCCACCGTGTGCCAGTGGTAATCCTGGTGGGGGAATATGCCTGCCAGTCTCACACAGGCAGAGACTTAAGCTCAGAGAGGGACAGTGGTTTGTCCGCGGTGAGCGAGTTAACAGGCGGAAGGAGCTGAACCCAGGTCCACCTGCAACACAAAAGGCTGGAGGCAGGGAGCGGGCAGCCTCCTGGAGGAGCAAGGCTGGGCCCAGCCCTGCACGGTCTGTCTTTCCTTCTGTGGTATTGGAACACCTACTGTGTGCAGGGGCTCTGCTGAGTGTGCGGGAGGAGAGAGAGGCCCCTCAGATCACTGGTATTCCCGTAGGTGAGAGAGGGAAGGTGTGCGAACAAGAGGTGAGGAAAAGGCGACCAGAGATAAATACTGCAAGCAGTGCCACGGCAAGACAGGAGTTCTGAGGAGGAGGGTGTCTAGAAACAGAAGCTGAGGCTAGGACTTGTTATAGCCTGCCTATTCCAGGTGGCCGCTGTGGCCTGAGGACGATTCCTTCAGTGGAATCTTGGACTCCCTGGGGGCGACTGGAGCATGGGAGAGGAAGCCCTAGGAATGGTGACACTTAGGAGGCATCATGACTGCCTGGAACTGTCCCCAGCCGGCACGGGGCTTGTAGCCTGGTCCGTGCCCGTTGGACGTACGCCCTCTCTGCTGGTCTGTCAGTTTTATTCAGCTGAGGTCTCATGTATATATCAGGGGTCAGCAAACCAGAGCCCAGGGGCCACATGTAGCCCGCCACCTGCTCTTGCAAAGCCCTCAAGCCAAAAAATAATTTTGACCTTTTTTATGTTTTAAATCTTTGTTTGGCCGGCGCCGCGGCTCACTAGGCTAATCCTCCGCCTAGCGGCGCCAGCACACCAGGTTCTAGTCCCGGTTGGGGCGCCGGATTCTGTCCCGGTTGCCCCTCTTCCAGGCCAGCTCTCTGCTGTGGCCAGGGAGTGCAGTGGAGGATGGCCCAGGTGCTTGGGTCCTGCACCCCATGGGAGACCAGGAAAAGCACCTGGCTCCTGGCTCCTGCCATCGGATCAGCGCGGTACGCCGGCCGCAGCGCGCTGGCCGCGGCGGCCATTGGAGGATGAACCAACGGCAAAGGAAGACCTTTCTCTCTGTCTCTCTCTCTCACTGTCCACTCTGCCTGTCAAAAAAAAAAAAAAAAATCTTTGTTTATTTGAAAGGCAGAGAGATAGAAACAGACATAGAGAAATCTATCTGCTGGTTCACCAAATGGCAGTGACAGCCAGGTCTGGGCCAGGCCTGAACCAGAGCCGGAACTCCGTTCACATCTCCCATGCAGGTAGCAGGGACCCAGGTACTTGAGGCATCACCTGCCCCCTCCCCCAGGGTGCCCATGAGCCGGAAGCTAGAATTGGAGGCAGAGCTGGAACTCGCCCCAGCCCCTCAGTAGGGGTTGCAGGCATCTTAACTACTGTGCCAAATGCCTGCCCCAGTTTTTACATTTTTAAATGATTGAGGGAGAGTCAAAAGAATATTTTGCGATATGTGAAAATTATATGGCATTCAAGTTTCATTGTCCACAAGTGAATTTTTTTAAAAGATTTATTTATTTGAAAGTTAGAGTGAGCAAGTGAGAGCATACTGTTCCATCTGTTGGTTCACTCCCAAGGTAACTACAACGGCCAGGACTGAGTCAGGCCGAAGCCAGGAGCTTCATCTGGCTCTCCCATGTGGGTGGCAGGGGCCCAAGGACTTGGGCCATCCTTCCTCTGTAGCCTTTCCCCAGCCATTGGCAGGGAGCTTAAATAGAAGTGGAGCAGCCAGGACTCAAACTGCTGCCCATGTGGGATTCTGGTGTTGCAGGTGATGGATTAACCCACTGTGCCACAACACCAACCCCTAGCTGGACTATGCTTTATTAAATTAAAATCAAATGCAATATCAATAGTGTGCAAACATTTAAAAATAAAAGATAGGGCAGACGTTTAGCCTACGGGTAACACATCAGTGAAGGTGCCCGCACCCCACATGAGAGTACCTGCGTCCAGCTCCTGACTCCAGCATCTTGCTGACGAAGACCCTGGGAGGCAGCAGTGATGTCCCAAGTCATTGGTCTCTGCCACCCATATGGGAGATCCTGGATTGAGTCCCCAGCTCCCAGCCCCTGCCCAGCCTCAGCCACTGTGGACAAGGTGGCCCAAGTCCTTGGGCTCCTGCACCCACATGGGAGACCCGGAGGAAGCTTCTGGTTCTTGACTTTGGATCGGCCCAGCTCTGGCCGTTGTGGCCATCTGGGGAGTGAACCATCGGATGGAAGACCTCTCTCTCTCTCTCTCCCTCCCTCCCCCCTCCCCCCTCTCTCCCCCTCTCTCCCCCTCTCTCCCTCTCTCTCCCTCTCTCTGCCTCTCTGCCTCTCCTCTCTGTGTAACTCTGACTTTCAAATAAATAAATCTTAAAAAATAAATAAATAAAATATGGAAAGAAGCCTGAGATTTACAGCAAAGAACCCTTGTGCTTTGGGGCAGCCAGTGAGGTGGGAGGGTTTGCGCAGCGCTCGCTCCGCCCCACCCAGCCCCCTCTCCTTTGCTCCAGGACTTACACCAGAGGATCGACAGGATCCGCTTGACCCCACCTTTGGAGAACAGCCGCTTCCACTACGGCTTCAACTCCAACTACCTGAAGAAGATCCTCTCCTACTGGAGGCACGAATTCGACTGGAAGAAGCAAGTGGAGATTCTGAACTCATACCCTCACTTCAAGACCAAGATCGAAGGTTTGTTTCCAGATCCCCCGCTCCGCCCGGAGCAGCCTTCACGTGTGAGGTTCAGAGTCGCTCAGAGCTGGGGGCCTGGCAGCTGACTGCGGGTCCCCGCAGGGATTCGTAAGCTGGGACTTACGGTAATGCTGAGTCCCTACAATTCCAAAGGTCTTTGGAGCTGGACAGAGGAGCGTATTTAAAAAAAAAAAAAAAAAAAAAAACAAACAAACAAAAAAAAAAAAACTTAAAAGCCAAAGAAATAGAGAATCCAGTCCAGTGATGTGGCAGTCCTTGAGAGGGAGAGTCAGATGGGCATGGCGTCGGTCTCGTTCTCAGCCTGGCCTTGCACTGTGGGGTCCTTCCACTGGGTCTGGGTCTGTTTGTCTTCTGCCCAGCCTCCATGGTGCCAGCTGCTGGCCTCTGAGCCCCAGCCCAGCAAACCTTCGTGTGTCTTTTCCCCAGCCTGAAGTTGGTCCAAGGAGGCCCCATCTGCTGTCCGTGTGCTGCCATCTCCCTCTCATCACGGACTTTCCCAGGGTCCTCTCTTGGCCTACTCTGAGCCCTGTGTCCCCGCTGCTGACTGCTCCAGGGTTCTGTGCTTGGCCCCACTGGCTGCACCCTTCGGCCTCCCTGTTCCCGCCTCTTCCCTCCTTGTTCTGTGGTGAGCATCCAGATCTAACCCACATCCTGCAACAGCAGGAGACTGACCTTAGAGTCTGGGAGCTCACAGGGGCTCCCCGAGGCCCCCGGTGAGTCCAACTGCAGCCTGTGCAGAGGGCAGGAGGGGTGCAGGTGCAGGGCCACAGTCTGGTCTGCAGCCTTCCTGGCTGTTCACAGCTCCTTGCTTTTCCTACACCCGGCTACTTGGGCCCTCTGGCCGTGACACCCTCCACCCCATGCTGTCTCATGCCCCCGTCAGGCCAGGCCTCCTGGAGCGCAGCACAGCTCAGCTCCTGGGTTCTGACCCAGCAGCCCAGCAAGCGTGTCCTTCCTACTGGGAAGTGGGGCCCCCAGGGGGACCATGAGGCTTGTAAAAATGTATAAATCCAAATATTTAGGATTCAGAAAGTTCAGTAAGGAAATACAGGGACAGGAGGTCTCCCTCTCACTCCCAGAGACACTTCTGCTTTGTTTACTCGCCTGTACTTCAGGGCGAGCCAAGACACACGAATCGTGTGTGTGTGTGTGTGCATGTGTGTGTGGTTTTTCTAAGCTTAAAGGATAATGTGGTAGAATTTTAATAGAAAAAAATCATCTTGCATCATTCAGTGTGTTCCAAGAGATAAGAATACCTACTAAAAAAAGCTTTAGAATAGGAATAAATTTAGCAACATAGAAGGACACCCAAGATACATTGTTAAGTGACAAAAATGAGGTTCCAGAATAGAATGCATGTAGGGTTCTATTTTTGCTAAAAGGAAGTTATGTTCTCGAAGTATTTCTCAGAGTTTAAATTGTCACCGCCAAGAGGAGTCTAAAGAGCCAACACAGCTAATGCCACGTTGTGTCCTGCCTGGGATCCTGGGGCGGGAGGGGTCCTTGGGTGAAAGCTGAGCGAACCTCGGTGATGCGCCAGTGGCTGCTTGTCCCAGGGTAGCGTTCAGCTGCAGCGTGCAGCGGCACAGGTGGGCCTGGAGGACTGGATGCCGAGCGCACTGGGCAGGTGATTCCCTCTGTGTGCAGCTCCTAAACGCACAGCCCAGCAGTGAGGCCGCCAAGGGCTCAGCTTCCGTGCCCGCCTCCAGCTCTGGAGTCCCACTTCCTGCTATTGTAAAACCCGGGGGATCAACAGTGACAGTGCAAGTAGTCAGGTTCCTGTCACCCACATGGAAGACCTGGACTGAATTGTTGGCTCCTTGCTGGAGCCCCTGCCAGGGCTGTTGCTGGTGTTTGGGCAGGGAACCAGGAGATGGGGCGGCACTCGATCTTTCTCCCTGTGCACTCCCTCTCCCCTCCAACATCTCATTTAAAAAATGTTTAAAATTACGAAGTACATGGGACACTAAGAACATGAAAGCACCTGATCTTACTCCAAAACTGCCTTTTATGTTTGAGTTCACCCTCCAGACTGCTGAAATCATGTACGCAGTATAAACGTGCATACATAACTGGATCATGCAATAGGCATGACTTGGTAATTTGATTTTACCACCTACTAATGTCTGCTGACATTGTTTTTTTTAAATAATTCCTGACTTTTTTTTTTTTTTTAAGTATTATTTCTTTGAAAGGCAGAGTGACAGAAGGAGAGGGAGAGACACATCTTCTCTCCTCTGGTTTACTCCCCACATGGCTGCAACAGGTTGAAACCAGGCTGAGCCAGGTTGAAGCCAGAACCAAATTTCATCCTGGTCTCCCATGTGGGTGCTAGGGATCCGAGCACTTGGGCCATCATCTGCTGCCTGCCCAGCATGTTAGCAGGGAGCTGTATTGCAAGAGTAGCCAGGACTGGAATCAAGCACTCCAATGGGATGCAAACATCCCAAGCAGTGGCTCAGTGCTACACCACAACACCTGCCCTTGAACTGTTTTCTGTGTTCAGTAGATTCACAGCTACACTGTCATCGTAAATGACTACTTTGTATTCTAAGACACTGTTAAACTGTTATCTGTTTGATGACTCCTGTGTTGCTGGATATACAGGGTCCCTAACCCCAACTTTTTTTTTTTTTTTAAGATTTATTTATTTATGTGAAAGGCACAGTTTCAGACAGAGACAGAGATCTTGCATCTGCTGCTTTACTCCCCAGTTGGCTGCAATGGCCGGAGCTAGGCTGATAAGGAGCCAGGAACTTCTTCTAGGTCTCCCACATGGGTGCAGGGACCCACACACTTGGGCCATCTTCCAGGCCATTAGCAGGGAGCTGGATTGGAAGTGGAGCAGCTGGGACTCGAACTGGCACCCATATGGGATGCTGGCACCATAGGCGGCCCCACACCTGACTTTTCAATGATTGAACAAGTGTTCATGGAATCCCACTGCGAGCCAGGAAATGTCTGGGCGCTGAGCCTACAGCGCTGCCTGCACAGGGTGGCCCTGTCCTCCTGAGCGAGCATTCTGATGTGACCGGGAGTGGTGATGGTGCCACACTTGCGGGGAGGCCGTGAAGGTTGAGTGCAGCAGGTGCTCGGTGGCTTGCCTGCTGCTCCTGCGCTCAGTACCACAGTCGGTGGGGAACAGCACCAGCCCTTGGCGCTCTGTGGGGTGCAGGGGCTGACCGGATCCCCAACCCCACCTGACTGCACTCTGTCCCCCCAGGGCTGGACATCCACTTCATCCACGTGAAGCCCCCGCAGGTGCCCCCTGGCCGCACCCCCAAGCCCTTGCTGATGGTGCATGGCTGGCCCGGCTCCTTCTTCGAGTTCTACAAAATCATCCCGCTGCTGACTGACCCCAAGAGCCACGGCCTGAGCGATGAGCACATCTTTGAAGTCATCTGCCCTTCCATTCCGGGCTATGGCTTCTCGCAGGCATCTTCCAAGAAGGGTACGGAGACCGCCAGGACCCACGGGCCCACCCTGTCCTGGGCCATGCTCTGTCGGTGCTGTCCTTCCCCGAGGATCGGGCGGGGAGTGGCCGAGGAGGCCAGGACAGGGGTGGCGAGAGGCCAGGAGGGGGGTGCTAAAGGGCTGTGCGTCTCAGGGAGTGGGCAGAGCAGCTGCCAAGGCTGCTCAGTGTTGCACAAGCCCTGCACTCGTGTCCTCATTCACTCCCCGTTTAGGGAGCCCAGTGTGGCCCACAGGCACAGCCTGAGCCCATGAGCACCCACACATCCCCGCAGGGTGGCGGCAGTCCACTCTGCCCCGTCGACTGCGATAAGCACTGGGCACAGCCCTTAGGGGGCAGGAGCCCCTGCCTCTGCGCTCCCTCTCACCCCACGGGGGCTGCTGCCCCCTCAGCTGCCCGTGACTTTGCCCTCCACCCCCAGGCTTCAACTCGGTGAGCACCGCCAGGATCTTCTACAAGCTGATGCTGCGGCTGGGCTTCCAGGAGTTCTACATCCAGGGCGGGGACTGGGGGGCCCTGGTCTGCACTAACATGGCCCAGCTGGTGCCCAGGTGAGGCCACCCGCCGCGTGTGCAGGGAACAGACCCTAGGAGCATATGTGTGCGGGGCAGCCATCCCCCCAGGACACGAGGTGCAGCGTCTTGTCAGAGGCCACCCAGGAAGGGATGCTTGTGGGCCCATGGAATAGGAAGGGTCCCTGTCCCTGCTGGGGCTGGAGTGCGTTGGCTTGGGTCCTCCCACTTGGCATAATGCAGGGTTAGTGACTCCGGGCCAGGTGTTCAGAGAGGGCCGGTGAGAAGAGGTGGCGGGGAATTAGACCTTCCTGATAGACCAAGTCCGGAAGAGCCCTAGCCAGAACGTTCTGGAAACTCTGTGTTCTGCCCCCAATCCCTGTCCCGTGACTCCTGTGTCCGTCCCTGGGGTAGGTGCCAGAGGAGGCCAGCCTTGTTCCCCTCCCTCTGTGGCTGGCCTTTCTCCCCTTTCTGCCCCCCACCCCCCGCCCCTTGCCTTGGCAGCAGCCCAAGCTCACCTACCTGGCCCCTCTCTGCCCTCAGCCACGTGAAAGGTCTGCACTTGAACATGGCTTTGATTTTAAGAAATCACTACACTCTGACCCTCCTGCTGGGACGGCGCATTGGGGGACTTCTTGGCTACACTGAGAGGGACATGGAGCTGCTGTACCCCTTCAAGGAGAAGGTGTTCTACAGTCTGATGAGGGAGAGCGGCTACATGCACATCCAGGCCACCAAGCCCGACAGTGTGGGTGAGCACAGCTGGCTGGCCGGGGGCTCCACTGGGCATGGGGGTGCAGGGTGGCACACGCCTCAGGCTCACTTGTAGGGAGCACAGAGCTCGTCAGGCCCCTACTTGAACCTTGCCACGAAAGTGAGTGTCAAGTTCCCAGGCCCATCCTGCCACATCTGTTGAGCCGGCTCCATATTCATAGTGATTTGACCCCTGACCCGCCCCTGAGCCCAAGTCCTGCCTGAAGAGGCCGAAGGAAGAGGTGGGCGATATGGAGCAAGAGGAGGCTCCAGGCTTGGCAGCTCTGGGCTGTGGGGGAAGGCAAGAGGGTGGCCCAGGGCCTGGAGCCAGTTCCTCGACCCTTCTGCCGCGAGGGTCCTGTTACAGGCTGACTGACACATCTGAATTCTGTAACTCACCAAGCTCAAAGATGGGGCATAGTGTGCCCCCCTGCCCCCAGGGGATCAGACACCTCCAGAAGGGCCCACTGCACGGCTTTAGGCCCCGTCAGAGGACAGCCAGGAGCTGTGCTGCCCATTTTAAAGTCTTGTAGGCGAGTCCCTGCTTGCAGTTTATTAAGCCATTTCCCCTCTGAGTATAAGACGCACGTTCAAACAGCACACGATGGCAAAGGCAGTCCACCTGTAGCCCCTCCTCCACCCCTCCTGTCTTTGAAAGGAGCATGCTGATGGTGTGGCTGGTTCATCTTCACGCCCTGAGCCTGCCGCACAGGCAGAAGCCCAGCACCCTGGATGCCACCTTTCTGTGCCCCTGGGGCTGCTCACCCCCGGACTCCTGACAGCGTGGTTTTCACTCCGCACTCTTTCCGCGGAGGGGTCGCAGGGTCAGCACACCAGGGTCCGCTGCGCTGGCTCCGTGTCACAGTCGTGACTTACCTAGCTATGGGCCTACTGATCCCCATCCTAGCCTCTTGGGCTGCTTCTCAGTGTCACGAATCAGAGCACACACGCAGACCAGAGAACCCCACCTTCTTAAAAACAGCTGGGACCCTTCCGTCTGAAGAGTGCCACGCACACAGGGTGGGGGAGCTGGCATCCCCAGGTGTCAGATGGGCATGCCTGGTCAAAGGTTAAGGAAGGTGGGCACAGAAGCGCCAAAGGGGCTAGGGTGCAGGTGTCCTGCCAGAACACCACCGTCCTGATGGACAGTCCCTGGGGACCCAGGCCTGAGCCCCGCCCTCGCTCCTCCCAACCAGGCTGTGCTCTGAATGACTCTCCCGTGGGACTGGCTGCATACATTCTAGAGAAATTTTCCACTTGGACCAACTCAGAATTCCGAGACCTGGAGGACGGAGGCCTGGAGAGGTGAGAGCTGTCTGTCCGCGCTGCCGGGGACCTGGTCCTGGCGGCCACCCCGCTCCTGCTCATTGCTGGTGCTATGGAGGGTGGTGAGCAAGTTCCTGCTGTTGCTGGCCTCCGCACAGGTGTTCACCCCATGACCAGCACAGCCCTCGGTTTTGATGAGGGGGTCTGATGATTGGCCCAGGCTTCCTGGTGGGGCGAACAGATGTGGGACGAGGGCTGACGGCACCTCTGCCCTGTGGCATCCAGGAGCCCAGAGGGTAGTGAGTATCCCTGTGTTGCCAAGAGCACCGCGTGACCCTGTATTCTGTGGAAGCCATCCAGGGAGGGAGGCTGCAGGAGGCCTGGGGAGGCACAGGTGCTCCTCAGGGAGCACCGGGCACAGTGCGGGGTGGGGAATGGAGGCTGTGGGGAGACTGGCTCCCCCCTTGCGGTAGGGACTCTGTCTTGGCCATGCTCTGGTCTGAGCACCTAGAACGGTGCCAGGCTATAGTAGGTGCTCAGGAAACAGATGTGGAATGAATGCGCTCTCTGGGAGACCAAAGAAAGGAGAATTGACTTTGAGCGAGAAGAGGGGACATGACTGGGAGAACCTGGCAGGACATGTAGGAGTCTGCCAGGTGGGGAGAGGCGAGAGGCAGAAGATGGGATTTCATAGCGAGAATGACTTGCAAGTCGTGCTCGGGAAGGGTGATTGATGCAGAGCCTGCAGTGGGACAGGCCTCGCCCTGGGATGTCCCAGGGCTTCTCACACACGGGGGCCAGGAACCTGATGTGAGCCCCACCCACCCCACCCCCAGCACCAGGGAGCCCCAGGCTTTCAACAGGGTGTAGCATACAGGATCACGGCTGTGTTCTAGAACGACCACTGGCACCAGCTGGTAGAAATGGTGGCCGTGGTGGTCCTCACGCTGTGTCCAGAGCCGCCAGGGAGACACAAGCACTGGGCCAACTCGGTAAACGCTGGCTCGCAGAGTCTGTCATTACTGCGGTGGTTCCCGGTTTCTCAGAGGGGAGTTTGATTTTGCCATCAAAACTGCAAAACCACACTGAGCAGGGTGTTCTGTCACGGTCCCTGCTCTGCACTGCTGTGGCTGGGGACAGGGACTGAGAGGGGCAAGCGTAAGGAGTGCACGTTCCTGGGTGTGCAGATGTCTCGGGAACCGACTCCACTCCCAGGAAGCCTCTGTCCGTGCATTCCTCCCGTCTTCCTATTTGGATGCCTAACTCTGTCTGGATCAGCCTGCCCCCATTTTACCATCCTTTCCCAGGCTGAGGGCCAAGGTCACCTCCTCTGAGAAGCCTTCTCTGACTTCTCCATCATCCAGGCCAGACTTGTCTCTGTGCCTGTGTCCACTCCCACCTCTGCCCCAGGACAGTGCAGCCAGTGTGGCTTATGTCACAGTCTCCCTGTTCCCTCCTCCAGGCAGGCAGGCAGCCAACCTAGTGCATCGCTTGGCACCTGGCAGCCAGCTGGCGTTCAGTAAACGCATCATCAGTGAGGCACCGGTACAGCAGGGACCCTCTGATCAGCGGGGAACTTGAGCCAATTCCTGCCTGGACACGCAGTATTAAATGGGCCTGGGATCCATGTAGTGGATCCCCTCCGGATGTTTTCCAGGTGGTGTAGATCCTGTTGTCAGGACAGGAGAAATGGAGGCAGAGGCAGGGTAAACGACTCCAAATCCTAGAGCTCCTGAGCACAGTGGCTAATATGAGACCCTGGACCCCCGGCCCTCTGGGCTCACTGCCTCCATGAGCTCCATGTCCAGGCCGCCTCCAAGTTCCAAGTCCCTTAGGCTCCTGAGGAATGCGACACACACTGCCCTGGAGAAGCCCCTGGTGGGCTGGAGTCGAGTGCAGGCAGATGGAGGCGGGAGCCGTGGGGTGTGCATCCTGGACCCTTGCCACAGCAGATGGAGCTGGTGACGGGACCTGTGCCCCATCGGCGCTTGAGAGGGGTAAAGGAACGGATACAGCCGAAGGGGCTCCAGAGGCACTGCCTTGTGCAGGGTCAGCATTGTGCTCCAGGCAGTGGAGCAGCCTCCCCGCGGCAGGGGGATCGAGGCCCACCTGGTGGTGTGGTGCAGGACAGGGCCTCGGCTTGCTCTGGGGCCACTCTGGGGCCAGCTGCACCTGGCCTGAGTGCGCTCCGTGCTCTGCTTTTCCAGGAAGTTCTCCCTGCAGGACCTGCTGACCAACATCATGATCTACTGGACCACTGGCTCCATCGTCTCCTCCCAGCGCTACTACAAGGAAAACCTGGGCCAGGGCTTCATGGCCCACAAGCATGAGCGGTGAGCCTGCCCGAGCACACGGGAGCCTCCGAGGCTGGAGGCAGGGGTGTGGCCTGCTCTTGGACTCCAGGGAGGGCATGGGGGCAGGACAGGTACAGCCTTGCCTGGGGTGTGGACAGGAGCACTGCCCTTGGCTGTCCCACAGGGCCCAGCCCCAGCTCGGGTATGGGCTTTGTGTGGCCCTGACAGTTCTGAGACGTCCAGATTCGTCCTGGAGAAGGGAACACAGTGAGAGCACCGGACTCAGTCTGTGGGCCTGCCCCCATGGCCTCCTAGGAGAGCGTGGGCCCTTGGAGATCTGAACACAAGGAGGGGTTAGAGCCCAGGGCCTCTTTTTAAAAAAAAAATTTATTTGAAAGGCAGAGTGACAGGGAGAGACAGAGTCAGTTTCTGTCTGTTGGGTCACCCCCACAAGTGGCTACAATGGCAGCGGCCATCTTCCATGGCTTTCCTGGAGTTGTGAGGGAGCTAGGTGGGAAGTGAAGTGATTCAGACTCGAACCGGGCACCAGTTTAACACTGCCCGCCCGTTTCTCCCCGGCTGTGTGAGGGCGGCAGCAGGCCTGGCCTCCATCCTCAGCGGTGGCTCTGTTTTTTGCAGGCTGAAGGTCCACGTGCCCACGGGCTTCGCAGCCTTCCCGTGTGAGATAATGCATGTGCCAGAGAAGTGGGTGAGGACCAAGTACCCTCAGCTCATCTCCTACTCCTACATGCCCCGCGGGGGCCACTTCGCCGCCTTCGAGGAGCCGGAGCTGCTGGCCCGGGACATCTGCAAGTTCGTGGGGCTGGTGGAGCGGCAGTGATGCCTCCCAGCCTTGCCTGGGGTGAGGGGTCGGCTTGCCTCCTCCCCTGGCCTGCTGGAACCCAGCTCAGGCCTCCGTACTCACTGCCTCACCCCCATGGCGTGGCTGATAAATGATTTGACTCCCATGAGTGGTTGTCCAGTGATGGGCAGGGGGGTTGGCTCTGCAGGGCACGCCAGGCAGAGTGTGAAGGAGGCCCCACCAGCCTGTACCTCTGGCGCCCCCTGGGGGAGAAGGGAGGCAGCATCTAGGGCAAGATTTGGGCTGCCCCTAACCCCGGAGGTTGGGACACCTAGCTCTTGGCAAGGCAGGAGAGGCTTCATCCAGCCCCGAGGGTGCTTTTTAAGTCGTCCCGGTGGTCTCCGCCCGCGGAGGCGTGCACGGCGGGTGGGGGCTGCTGCAGCAACTGTACGGCACCCCCAGCTCCCCCACGGTCCATCTGACAGCAGTGGGTGAAAGACACAGCACGTGGAGGGGGCCGGACTCCCATCCAGACCCGGCCGCTGCGGGATCTTTGGTTACCGGCTGGCTGGGGGCCTGCAGAGGGATGGGCGTTGTCTGGTGCTCAGATGTAGGGGTACTCCCCTGCTTACCCTACACAGTGACCAGGGCTGATTGGCTGGGGGGGGGAAGGGGGAGGTGGCACAGATCCTCACACACAGCCCCAGCTCCAGAGCTGGAAACTCTGGCACGAAAGGGGAATTGGGAAAGAGGGGAGGGAGCAATGTGTACTCCCACTGCAGCTGCTGTGACTCAGAAAGCATCCCCCCCACCCGGCCCCGCCCCGTCCCGCCCCTCCCCTCCCCCTGAGCCCAGATTCGAGGCCGCTCCTGTGCTGCCTTTGAAGAGCAGGGGGAGCTTGTGAAGCAGATGGAGAGATGCTGGGAACCCAGTTAGGGCTGGAGGCTCCTCTCCACCGCTGTCTCCTCCAGCAGGGGTGGGGTGGGGGGAGCTCGGCCCTGCCCCACAGCTCACCTGTGCTCAGGCCTCCTGGTGGTCAGCAGTCACAGCGTCCGCAGGGCTCGGAGCCCAGTCCTGCCCCGGGACGGTCCCGCTGATGTTGTGGATGGCGCCATAGGTCTGCTGCCGCTGCGGGGACAGGGCTGTCGTCTCCGAGGCGAAACCACTGAGGATCCGGGGCACGTAGGGCTGTCAGCAGAGGGGAGAGTGAGTGCCCGTCCTCAACGAAGTGGCGTCTGTCCGTGTAGGGCGTCAAGAGCCCAGAGAGGTCAAGTGTGCAAAACAGCAGATGGCACGGTGCTCGTGGTCTTGCCGAAGGGAGCGCCACAGAGAAGCCAGACATCCTGGCACTGGGCTCCAGGCAGGCAGGACACAGTCCGTGGGACTGGGCGTGCCGAGTGGATCTCCCAGTCCAGGCCCTGGCTGCCTACTCAGCACAGGCCCCCAAGCCAGGCTGAGATTGAGGGGCTTACACCTGCCCTGTGGGCACAGCCGCAGATGTGTGGGCAGTGAGTCTCCCAAGGGGCCTAGTCTGGGGCTTGTCCAAGGGCAGACGCGGATAAGAGTGCCTGACACCTGGGCGGCAGCGCCTGGGGTGAGCACTGCTGACAGGAGCCTCTGGTCTGCCAGGAAGGGGGTGGTCACGGCCCCGGACCCTGTGGCTCTGCTGTGCAGCCCTTCCTGGAAGCAGGGAGAACCAGAAAGCAAAGTGTGGTGTCTCCCACACACTGCCTTCCTCCAAAGCAGGTGCAACGTGCGTTCATGAAAGTCAAGGGGAAACGTGTCTGCTAGCCTCCTGGTGCTGAGTGGCAGCCCTCACATGGGCAGGCAAGTCTGGTGACAAAGCTTCATCAAACCACAGGGCCTGCTGATCAGACTTCACTGAGCCCCAGACTCCCAGCATGAAATATGTGGAGCAGGGAACCGAAACCCAGAGGGAGGGGCAGCCATCCGGGTAGGACCGATTGTCTTCTCCCTCGCGAGGGGGTTTCCAACACGCAGGCCCAGACCTCCAGAGGCCATAGGGGTGCCTTCTCCATGGACGTTAATTCAGAACTTGCCTGCCATGTGGTCAAGGGACTTCCACCTTAGCAAGAGAGGATCAAGGCACATGTGCCAGGGCCCATCTGGCTGGAGCCGGTTTACAGCCAGAGCAAGGGCAGGTGACACGCACTGGGCCGTAAGGAGCGTAGGTCACTTACTGTGAACGGTGGGGGCACGTGGACCTCGGCCTCATTTGCTTTGTCACTTGTTGGTTCTTCTGTCTGCAGACAACAACAAAAACTTGCAACACTAACCAAAAACTGATCTCCCTGAGCTAAGATCCTCCCAACAGACTGTTAACACCCAGATTAATTGTCCCAGCTGCACCAGGCTCCCAGCAGCAGCCCAAGGTGGGGGCTGGGGGCGCACAGGAGCAGAAACGGTTGGGCGGTGCGGGGGAGGAGGAGCCGCACATCACATCCAGACCCACGCCTGTCCCAGGGATAAAATCTCCAGAAGTTGGCTACTGTACCAATAGTGGGGTTTCTCCCTGTGCCTCCCCCGTTCCCTGTCTCTTCCTGGGTCTTGGCTGGGCGGCGGCAGGTGTCTTTACCTTATAGTTCAGCGGGCTGAGGTGCCTGAAGCATCCAAAGCAGGTGTAGGCCAGGCAGACCAGGATGGTGAGCAGCACCACCAGGAAGGTGAAGAGGGTGGCAGGGGCCTTCATCCCTGGGGACAAAGATGCCCGCCTTGGAGGCAACCCACAGTACCAGCACCCTGCTGAGGGAAAGGGCTACGCCCAGCACAGGAACTGGGGGGATGTCTCCTCCAACCCCTCACTCCAGGGGCACGTGGTGTGTCCCTCCCATTTTTCCCCTTCAAGTTTCAGGTGTTGGGACACCAAGTGATGGCATTTCGTCAGCACCCTTGCTGGGTCTGTCCCCTCCGGTCTTGGGTACCCAGGGACGGGGGCTCCTCTGGAAGAGGATACCCCATGTGTCTTCTGCCACCATCCCCACAGAGCATTCTGGATCAGCTGTCCATCTCCTCTGGGGCTGCCCTCTCTCTGGCTGCCTGGGGCAAAGAGCTGGCCTTACCAGGCTTGGAGCTCAGGAGCTGGGTTTTCACATTCTGATTGGACACCCAACCAGCCCTCCCCCTAGGTAACCACATTCCGATTGGACACCCAACCAGCCCTCACGCCAGGCACATGTTCTGATTGGATACCAAGTTGTAAGGGATCTGAGTGGCTCATGTGGAGGTGGGAAAGCCAAGGCCAAGGGCTGGGATCCTGGCTCCAAAAGGGCCCTCACCCAGGCGCAGGAAGGAGAAGAAGTAGAGCCAGAAGAGGCAGAGGATGGGAGCAGCCAAAGCCTGGTTCACGGCAGCAAAGTGGATCCTCTTCTGCAGCTTGGTCGGGAGGTAGACGAAGTAGAGGTTGTGCCGGTCCACCATGTGCTTGAGCAGGATGTAGATGAGGCCTGCAGAGAGGGGGCCAGGGGCCGGGACCTCACTGGACCACAGTAGCCTCTGCCCCTTGCTCTTAGGGGCAGCTCGCCTGCTTGTGGCTGGGGCTGACTGCACTCTACTGCAGGCAAAAGGCACAGCCTGGCTGCTGGTGTCTGCTTCCCTCCTCCTCCCGCTCACCCCTTTCTCTGTCATTCTGTCCCCGTGGGACTCAAATCCCAGGATCCTCTTGGGAAATGGGTGGTGTCACTCGCAGATGCCTGGACTCAGTCTTCCAGGACCCCTCCCATGCTGAGGCTCCCCACCCCGTGCTTCTCCCACCCAGGCTGCCCCCTCTGCCCTCAGTCACCCACAGGTCTGACTCCTAGCCTGGGACAGAAGGTGGGTGACGTCTTGGCTTAATAGAAAAGTACTTTGTCTAAAAATGTTTTCACGGAGTATCTATTTTATGTATTTTTATATATTCTATATATAGAATTATATATATATTTTAAATCACACAATAGAGTCTACAGGGAAAACAAACTTCCTCCTATCCCTAAACCACAACTGTCACGGGCAACAGTCTGTTGGGTGTTCTGGGTTTTCCTGTGTTTTCTTCCATCAGTCTGCCAATTCTTGATGTTTTATTTTAGTGGCAAGACCTTTGCCCTTAAAGTCAAACAGTCCCCAAGTTCAAGTCCTGGCTCTCCTCCTTTCTAATTTAAGTTCTTCAAGACCTGCCTGGGTGGGGCTGGGTGAGATTTAAATAGGATTGCCCACGTGGAGGCACTGGCATCTGGCCAGAACCAGAGCAACAACATGTCATCCTACATGTTGTTAAAGACCAACCAAGAATGGTCGGCACTGTGGCGCAGCAGGGGAAGCCACCACCTGCAACTCCAGCATCCCCTATGGGGGCTGGTTCATGGCCTGCCTACTGCGCATCCAGCCCAGCTCCCTGCTAATCCACCTGGGAAAGCAGCAGCAGATGGCCCAAGTGCCTGGGCCCCTGCCACCTGCACAGGAGACACACATGAAGCTCCTGGCTTTGGCCTGGCCCAGCCCTGGCTGTTGCAGCCATTTGAGGAGTACACCAGCAGATCAAAGATCTGTCTGTCTGTCTCTCCTTCTTTCTCTGTAACTCTTTCAAGTAAATAGATCATTAAAATAAATAAACAAACAAAACACTTAGAACAATGTGCCCCCTGGACAGAGAATCTCGGGCCAGCAGCAGAAGTACTGAGAGGGGTCGCACAGGAGGCCAGTGGAAGGAATGCATTTTGCAATGAAATGAAATTGGTGTCACGTGTGGTCCTTGGCAGCTTGTGTTCTGGTGCCTACAAGAGATCCACCCTGTTTTCGGGGGCTCCCACTGTCCCTAGGGGGCTGGCTGGGTGACATCAGCTGTCTGTGTACCCTGGGACCAGCTCCGTGGCACTCACCAAATGGCACGATAATGGGGCAGGTGATGCTGTAGGCCATGATGACAGTGAAGACGCACAGCATCCACGCGTACATGGCTCCAAACTCGTACTCAGACGCCTGGTTCTGGGGGTGGAGGATTGGTGAGCAGTTCACAGGCTGGTTCCATCCAGACACCCTCCACACACACCAGGTGGTGAGGTGAGGACGGGGTTGAAGGGGGTGGAGGGTGGGAATGGGCTTGGGAAACAGGACACAGCTGGCTGCCCTCTCCCGCTTGACCATCCCTCCCGAGGCAGAGCGAGCCGCGTTTTCCTAGTGTTTCCTTGTTCTCATCATTCTACCCAGCAGGTCTGTGAGCCCTGGAGGGGCTGTAGAGCGACTCCCCAAAGCCTTGGGCATCAGACTGCCATGAGCTCGGCCCCCCAGCCCGGGGCCAGCTCAGTTGCACGGCTGCAAAACAGCGGCATGAACAGCACCTGCATCCTGAGGGGCGCTGAGGAGCAAACAGAAGGAGGCAGCCGCTGCCCCCTCTCCACTCACAGTACGCCCCTGGCAGAGGAGAGAGAGCCCACGCCACCCCTTTTAGGGACTCCTGCCCTAAGCCCAAAAGGGCTCCGACATCCACAGTAATCCTAAGTATACAAATTGGGGGGGGGGGGCTGTGGAAAAGGAAGTCTGCGTCCCAGTTGTTCATACGTATGTATGTGACCAAACGTGAACATGCAAAAATCCTGGGGCTTCAGTGTGGCACAGTGAGTTCAATCACCACTTGCAACTCTGGCATCCTATACTGGAGTGTGGGTTCCAGTCCCAGCTACTCCACTTCTGATCCAGCATCCTGCCAGTGGGCCTGGGGAAGGCAGCAGAGGAAGGCACGAGGACTTGGGGCCCCTGTCACCATGTGGGAGACCCAGATGGAGTTCCTGGCTCCTGTGTTCAGGCTGGCGCAGCCCTGGCTGTTCCAGCCATCTGAGGGCGTAAACTAGTATGTGGGAGATAACTGTCTCTTCCATCATTCTGCATTTCAAATCAATCAATCTTAAAAAACGTAAAACTTGCAAACTGTATTCTGCAGCCTGTGAGTGGGAGCAGAGGCTGAGGGGTACGTGGTATGTTCCTGCAGGAGCCCCCTGGCCTGAAGTACCAAGCACAGCACCTGGCCCAAGGTGGGTCAGAGGCACAACCACACCCACACCCCCGGGGCAGCACCTGCTTGATGTTCCTGCGGTCGGCGGCCGTCTTGGCCATGACCATGCGGAAAGAGTAGAGGATGAGGCCCGGCAGCCGCAGCATCTCCATGCCATTGCCGATGAAGGCCGAGGCGATGACGTAGTTCACAAAGAAGGCACCCTGGTCAGGGAGGAAGACGCACCTGGGGACCCAGGTGGGGTCTGTGAGCTGAGAGCAGAGGGAAAGGAAGGGCCCTGGGCTGGGCAGGGGCTGCCAGCACATGGGGAGGCTTTAGCCCCACCCCTCACTCAGCCCATCTCTCCACCTGGCACTGAACACAAAACCAAGGCCAGCACAGCCGGAGCATGAGGCCAAAGGGGGCCAGGGGTCGGGGAGAGGGCATGGCCGGGCAGAAGACCAGGGGGATGGCTATGGACACCATCCAGGCGCAGCAAGGGGGCAGTCGTGTGGAGGTGGCGAGGCAGGTCGAGTTCTGGACCCGGCCCATGCAGAGCTGGGGGCCTTTGCTGACATACACGGTGAGGCAGGAAGGACAGGAGACAAGAAAAACTCCCGCTGGAAAGCACGACGGAGTGGGGAACATGGAGGAGTAGCAGATTTGGGGCTAAAAGTCAGGAGTTTGGTGAGGGGAGGTAAAGTCTAGAACTCCACATGCAGGGAACTGAAATGCAGGCGGTAGAGCACGTGGGGTGCAGGCTGGAGTTAGGGACGGGGGTGCCGACTGCATATTTTAGCTCAGGAGTAGTGGTGCAGTGCTGAAGGCCTGGGTCCAGCTGGGGCCACCCAGAGAGGGCTGAGCCCTCGGGCAGGCAAGGTCTGGAGTTGTGAGATGCGAAAGAACCTACTAGGGGCTGTGGAGGTGAGGCTGGGAGGGACGGCCGAGGGCCGAGCTGCAGGGCCAGGAGAGACAGCATTTCAGCGAGGAGGGGCCGATAGCAGGGCTCAGAGTGGCTGCAGGGTCTGGCCATCTGGAAGTCATCGTGAAGCCAGACAAGGGCCGGCAGAGTGGATGCGCGTCTGACTGCCAGCTTCCGTGGCGTCAGCCTGCCTGGCCAGAACACACTCGAAGGAATTCACCATTGCCTCCAGGAAAGCCCCAGATTCCTATCCATGGTCCTTGGGAAGAGGCCACTCCAAGCCCTAGGGCCTATGCTGGGACCCGCAGAACAGTGCCGTTGGGGCTGGGGTTGACTTCCAGCTCTCGTAACCAGCTAGCTGGGTACCTGAGTCTCAGTCTCCTCATCTTTAAAACAGGGTAAGAGCGGCTGGCACTGTGGAGCAGTGGGTTAACGCCCTGGCCTGAAGTAACAGCATCTCATATGAGTGCCGGTTCAAGTCCCGGCTGCTCCACTTCTGATCCAGTTCTCTGCTATGGCCTGGGAAAGCAGTGGAAGAGTGGAAGATGGCCTAAATCCTTGGGCCCCTGCACCCGTGTGGGAGACCTGGAAGAAGCTCCTGGTTCCGGATTGGCACAGCTCTGGCCGTTGCAACCAAATGGGGAATGAACCATTGGATGGAAAAACTCTCTCTCTCTCTCTTTTTCTGCCTCTCCTCTGTGTAACTTGACTTTTAAATAAATAAATAAATCTTTAAAAAAACCATAAAACAGGCCGGCGCCGCGGCTCACTAGGCTAATCCTCCGCCTAGCGGCGCCGGCACACCAGGTTCTAGTCCCGGTCGGGGCGCCGGATTCTGTCCCGGTTGCCCCTCTTCCAGGCCAGCCCTCTGCTGTGGCCAGGGAGTGCAGTGGAGGATGGCCCAGGTGCTTGGGCCCTGCACCCCATGGGAGACCAGGGAAAGCACCTGGCTCCTGGCTCCTGCCATCGGATCAGTGCAGTGCGCCGGCCGCAGCGCGCCGGCCGCGGCGGCCATTGGAGGGTGAACCAACGGCAAAGGAAGACCTTTCTCTCTGTCTCTCTCTCTCACTGTCCACTCTGCCTGTCAAAAAAAAAAAAAAAAAACCATAAAACAGGGTAAGAGTGTCTAGTTCACAGCTGTACAGGTTAACCAAGGGGCAGGCGTCTGGTGCAGCAGTCAAGTCAACACTTGGGACACCCACATCACACACTGGAGTGCTTGATTCAAGTCCCTGCCATTCACTTCCAATCTGCCTTACTGCTAATGTGTATCCTGGGAGACAGCAGATAGGAGATATCGCTACCTTTCACATAAAAAGATTTTGTTTAAATTGCATTTGAAAAAAGGCTAAATGAGTTAAAGATGTATAAAGCAGTTAGCTAGGGACTAGCACTGTGGCATAGCAGGTGCTGGCATCCCATGTGGGGGTGGGTTCAAGTCCTGGCTGCTCCACTTCCAATCCAGCTCCCTGCTAACAAATCTGGGAAGGCAGTGGAAGATGGCCCAAGTTTTTGGGACCCCTGTGCCCACATGGGAAATCCGATGAAGCTTCCAGCTCCCTGCTTTAGCCTGGTCTTTGCAGCCATTTGGGGACTGGACCAGTAGATGGAGTCTCTCCCTCTCTCTCTCTGCCTCTCTGTAGCTCTTTCAAATAAATAAATAAATCTTACCCAAAAAAAAAAAAGGCATTTAGCTCTCCCCATTAGGTGGGTGTGGGGTGAGCTCAAATGGCCATCAGGGTCACATGGCACTGTTGCCACGCCTCCCTGCCACCGCCCCCCCCCCCCCCCCCGGCCCAATGAGAACCCCGCGGGCCTTCTCCCCAGAAAGTTTGGGAAGGAGTTGGTACTGAGACTGCTCTACTGCGTTTTGGCCTGAGGGATCAGACACATTTCTGCAGTGCAAAGTGGGTCAGCTCGCAGTGTGCACAGAGCCTGGGAGGCGGATGGGGAAGCGCTGGACCCCCCTGCTTTCTCAGGGCTGGGTTGGGGGGTTGGGAGGATGGGATGGGGGTGTCAGATGCTGTTCTGAGGCCCGGCCACACCCTCCCTACCATGGCCCACGCTGGAGCCCCTCTGAGACTTTTCCCCAGGCTCACAGCTCCGGAACACAACTTGGCTGATATACTTACTCCAACCTGATAGAGGTCTCTGAGGAAGTTTTGTCAAAGAGCCACCGGAAGAAAAAATCCAGACTGAAAAACAAACGCACCCCGTAAGTGATCGTCTCGGGACAGTCCGTGTGACCCCTGCATGTGTCTTCCACTGCTTCTCCTCTGAACAGGCTGGCTCTCAAGACCTGCGCAGGTTCTCAGCCACACCGCTCACATGCACAGCGTGACCCCCTGCCTCCAAAGGCATTTCCACCCCCCACCCCCCACCATGACCCTGAGTCTCTAGGTCAATGTGAGAGGCGGCACTGTGTACCTGGTGAGGCCGAGGGAGGGCAGGATCAGCACCATGAAGATCAAGAATATGTACACCTTCGTCACCATGATCCGGTTTTCTCCCGACCTGTGGGAAGTCAGAGGTGACCACAAACGCCGGGGCCCGCTGCCCAGGGTGGGGGCAGGGCCAGAGGCCGCAGGCACTCACTTGGTCCAGTGGGACTCCAGCAGGGTAGAGTAGTAGACGACGGAGGGCAGCAGGGCCGAGAAGGACCACAGCAGGAGGGTGGGGAAGAACTGGCTGATGACGGGGTTCTGGAAGACAAGGTCAGAGCGCGCCTGCAGGAGCTCCGAGTGACCCGGGGGCAGGGCTGGGTCACCCTTCCCGCTCAATGTGGTGGACTACACCATAGCGCCACCTTCTGCCTGCCTGGTTCTCGGCAGTGAAGCAATTGCACCTTCAACTCAATTCCTCTTACCGGATGGACAGATTAGAGAACCTCCATTCCTCACACAAAGCCACTGATGCCAAGGCAGAGCGAACTCTGGGGGCCAGGGCTGCCCTCTGCCCACCTGGCTCCCCTGCTCCAGGCCAGGGCTGCTCGCCCGCCTGCCCGGCTCCCCTGGTCCAGCTGCAGCTTACAGGACTCCGGCATTTGTCCCAAATCCTGCAGATGCCGCTTATATTTGCTACTGTACTTATATGACCTGGGTAACTTACTTTCACTGATCAAATGAACTTAAGGAAATTTTCTGGGGCCAGCGCTGTGGCCTAGCTGATTAAACAGCCACCTGAGACACTGCCATCCGCATGGGAACTGATTCAAGTCCCAGCTGCTCCACTTCCAATCCAGCTCCCTGCTTAAGTGTCTGGGAAAGCAGCAGAAGATGGGTCAAGTGCTTGAGCCGCTGCACCCACACGGGAGACCTGGATGAAGCTCCTGGCTTTAGCCTGGCCCAGCCCAAGCCGTTGTGGTCATTTGGGGACTGAACCAGCAAATGGATGGAAGATGAATCAAAATCCCTCTCTCTGTAACTCTGCCTTTCAAACAAATAAAATAAATTTTCAAAGATAAAAAGATTTTCTTTGTAAACTGAGTTGTATACTTTGAGAAGACCTAATTAAGGCCCATTTCTAATACCATTGAATTAGATGAAAGTAAGTAAATTATAGAAAATCAAGTTTCTATTTTTAGAGTGGCTTTGCAATCATCTTTAAATTTTTGCTTTACTGGGGCTGCCATTGTGGCACAGCAGGTTAAGCTGTTGCCTGCAACAACAGCATCTCATGTGGGTGCTGGTTTGTGTCCGGCTGCTCCTCTTCTGATCCAGCTCCCTGTGATGGCCTAGGAAAGCAGTGGAGGATGGCCCAAGTGCTTGGGCCCCTGCACCCACGTGGGAGACCTGGAAGAAGCTCCTGGCTCCTGGCTTCAGATCAGCCCAGCTCTGGCCATTGTGGCCATTTGGGGAGTGAACCAGTGGATGGAAGATCTCTCTCTCTCCCTCTTTTCTAACTACCTCTCAAATAAATAAATACAAATCTTAAAAAAAAAAAAAAAAGAAAGAAAGAAAGAAACAAACGAAACCAAAACTGTAATCAACAAAAGAAGAGTGTGTGTTTTGTGTTAAACAGACAAAGCAGACCCTTCCTCACAAGAACAGGCCTGTCCCCACGTCACAAGATCAGCAGAGGAGTGAACGCTGATCTGCCTCGGGTATACCAGGGAGCTGCTATCGCACCGCAGGTCAGGTGAAGGCACCCAGCACCCTGGCCCATTCGACCGTCAGCACAACCACCTGGTGGGTGTAATGCCGCTGCCACCTCAGCTCCTGTCTGGGGTGAAAAACCAAGGCTCAGAGTTCCCCGGGGCGGGGGGAGTGGCAAAGACCAACTGGGACCTCAGGTCCCCTGCTAGGGGGCTTTCTCGGAGGATGATCAGCCAAATGCCAACGGAAGAGGGAAAAGAGAGATACAGGGCATTAAGCTGCAGTCTCGCTGAGCCATGTAAGATTCTTGGAAATAACTGGCAAACAGAACACAAGACATACAAATGATTAACAGAAACTAAAATCTAGGAGGAATCATGTGTGTTCCAGCCCACCCCAAACACAGAAGTTCTGTTCATTCTTCCTCGGCCCCTCCCCATGGTGTCCCCGTGCGTCCACGTCACTGGCTGGAACCATCGCTTTGAGACAACTTTGCATTCTGCTTCTACCTGAAGCCCCGGGTGTGCCACAAAGCCCACACAATCTTTAATGGGTGCCTAACATTTTGTCTGTCTGGACATACTCGTTCCCACTGCTGAGCATTTGACTGATTTCATTAAAAACATATTTTGGGCATTACTAAAAGATGTCATAATTAACAGAGCCATGCATGCAGACGTGAGCTGAGGGACGTGGCCTCCAGGCTCAGTTTCCCTTATGCCCCTCAGCCTTGTCCACCCCCTACCCACCCTCTTCTTACCAGCCCTTGCCAGCATGGCCACTCACATTCAGTGCGTGGATGGGCTTGGTGACGTTGAACTTGTCCATGGTGGACAGGATGATGGAAGGCGTAGTCAGGAAAAACAGCCCCACGAAGAGGACGAAGTTGATGCCCAACCACTGGAGCCACCAGCGGAGGCCCTGGACGGAGAGGTTCTTCCTGCAGAGGGCGGGGACACAGGGGCCTGCAGGTTTATCGCCCACACTTAGGCCCCTGTGAGGCCAATAGTACATATGGCTCAGGGTGTCAGAAGGTCAGATATATGGGGGCTGGCATCGTGGCACAGTGGGCAAAGCTGCCACCTGCAACACCAGCATCCTATATGGGCACTGGTTCAAGTCCCAGCTGCTCCACTTCCCATCCAGCTCCTTGCTAATGGCCCAAGTGTTTGGGTCCCTGACACCTACATGGGAGACCCAGATGAAGCTCCGGGCTTCAGCCTGGCCCAGAACTGGTTGTTGTGGCTATCTGTTGAGTGAACCAGCAGAGATGGAAGATCTCTAACACTTACAAGTAAATAAATAAATAAATTGTACATTGTCAGTTAAGTGCACGTGCATACACACATACACAGAGGTCAAATATAGGCAGGCCCAGGAACCCTGGTTGGGGGCTCCCTTGGGCCTCAGGGGTACAGGCAAGCTCTCTGCCCTGACTTCCAGGAAGGCCTGTCCACAGAAAGGCCAAATCTCAGGCCCCAGGGAGCTCAGAGGAAAAACACATCACTGCCCCTTGACCCAGCTCCCCAGCTACAGACCCTCTGAAGGGGACGCCATGAGCACCCAAACAGACCACATGAGTCCCTGTGTGGCAGCTCCTGGACACATCTGCAATGCTTTGTGGCCAGTGGCACATTCTTCCCAACAAGGCCTGGTGTCTGCCAGGGAGGCAGGGACAGAGGAGCAAAGGCACAGCTGGAAGCTGCCCCCGCCTCTCACTCCTACCCAGAGCACACCCACACCCCAAACCCAAGCTCGGGAAGCCCCTGAACCAAACAGCAAAACCATGACAGGCTGAGCCAGCACCTGGGTACCTGAGCACCTCACATCTATTCTATATAACGACCGAGGCAGGGCCACACAGGTCGACGTGCCAGGGCTTCTGCTGGGGCTGCCCTCACCTCTGCACGGCACCTTGGCTTGCCCATGGCAGTGTGGACATGGGCCCCTCACCAGCCTGACCCCAGGCTGCTGCCCAACCTCAGACTGCACTGTCCAAAATGATAGCCACAGCCACTTGGAAAGTCACTGGTCTAAACTGAGAGGCACTCGGGAGTAAAAGACACAAACTCCCAAAACAACATGAAAAGGAGTGTTTAAAAAACAAACAGGGAGCCAGCTCCGTGGCTCACTAGGCTAATCCTCTGCCTTGTGGCGCCGGCACACCGGGTTCTAGTCCCGGTCGGGGCGCCGGATTCTGTCCCGGTTGCCCCTCTTCCAGGCCAGCTCTCTGCTGTGGCCTGGGAGTGCAGTGCAAGATGGCCCAAGTGCTTGGGCCCTGCACCCCATGGAGGACCAGGATAGGTACCTGGCTCCTGCCATCGGATCAGCGCGGTGCGCCGGCCGCAGCACACCAGCCGCGCCGGCCATTGGAGGGTGAACCAACGGCAAAGGAAGACTTTTGTCTCTGTTTCTCTCTTTCACTGTCCACTCTGCCTGTCAAAAAAAACAAAAAAAACAAAAAAAAACAGGGGCCAGTGCTGTGGCGCAGTGGGCTAATGCCATGGCCTGAAGCGCCGGCACCCCATATGGGTGCCGGTTCGAGATCCAGCTGCTCCACTTCTGATCCAGCTCTCTGCTGTGGCCTGGGAAGGCAGTAGAAGATGGCCCAAGTCCTTGGGCCCCTGCACCCACGTGGGAGACCTGGAGGAAGCTCCTGGCTCCTGGCTTCAGATCACCACAGCTCCGGCTGTTGTGGCCAATTGGGGAGTGAACCATCAGATGGAAGACCTCTCTCTCTCTCTCTCTCTTTGCCTCTCCTTTCTGTGTAACTCTTTCAAATAAAAAAATAAATCTTAAAAAAAAAAAAACCCTAAATAAACAAAGTTGATTCTATGTTGAGATGATTAACATTTTGAGTATTCAGTAGTCCTCCATTATCTGCTGTGTCATCTTCCATGGTTTCAGCCCTGGCAACTGAGGTCCAAAAATGTTCATGGAAAATTCCAGAAATAAACATGCATGTTCTAAGTTGCACATTGTTCTGAGCAGTATGATGAAATCTCAGTGTCTGGGATGTGAATCACTCCTTGTCCAGCATATTCACTATCTGTCCACTAGCCACTTAATCACTGCCTGGGTTGTCAGGGCTACCGTCACAGTGGTACAGTACTTACCGCGTTCAAGTGACCCTCATCTCCTTAATAATGGCCCAGAGGCACAGGAGTGGTAATGCTGGCAATTTGGGTACCCCAGAGAGTGTGAGAGTGCTATACAAATGGGGCTTGCTGCTACCCACAGTTGCAGGCATCCCCCGGGGTCTGGGAATGTATCCCTTGCAGATAAGAGACACACTGTACTGGGAGAGATACAGGATGAAAATTAATTGCAACTGTTTCCTTTTGCTTTCCAGCAAGACTCCTGGGAAATTTTAAATGACATGGGCAGCTTGTATCACATTTCTGCTGGCCAGGGAGTCACAAGGGAGGTATGCACCAGGGGCAGACACCCAGTCATTGTGACACACAAGGTCAGCTTGTACCTGTGCTCCAGGGGACACGCCAGCCCCCGCCAGGAGCCCAGGCCTCTCGAGGCCCCCTCCCCAGCCCCGGAGCTCACCAGCAGATGTCTTCAGGGTATGCAGCGAAGGTGACGGCCCACTGGGAGGTGCGCAGCTCCCTGCTGCAGGAGGACGGCTGGGGCTCCCCTTTGCAGTGGAGGCCCTGGCACTTGCAGGCGTTGAAGTCTTTCAGGATGCTGTGGAAAGGCAGACGTGGCTGGGGCACCACGCACACACGTGGCAAACACAGACCGGGGAGAGGGCCGGCGCTGAGACACCGGATCTTTCCTTCCTGTTCTATCGCTATAATGAACACTCCCAAAGAGGGACAGCATGGCAACTCCGTACACCCTCAGGACAACCCTGCAGCCAAGAGCGCACCGTCTGCACCTGCAGGTAAGGAAAGGGAGGCTTCTCCAAGGCAGGTGCCGTGCCACTACTGGTCTGAGCCCAGCTCCCCCAACACAGGGCTCCTCTAGGGCCCAGCCCTTCCACTCTGCCCACGCAGCTGCAGCTCTGACTCAACCCTGCTGCAAGCCCAATGCCTTCTCCTTCCCATTCCTTCTCTGGGGGCCCGGCCCCGAGAACAGCACCAGACCACACGTCCTACTCCCTAACTTCCCTCCGCAGCACTCCCGCCTCAGCCATCTCGTCTCAGTGGCTCCCCCTCGCTCCCTCTTTAGCCTCCTAAGAAGAAGCCGCCAGCCCTGACTCCTGTAACAGAACACCCTTCCTGGGCCAGCACTGTGGTGCACTGAGCTGCGCCGCTGTGTGCAACAATGGCACCCCAGATCAGAGCGCTGGTTCCAGTCCTGGCTCCCTGCTTTCCATCCAGCTCCCAGCTAATGTGCCAGGGAAAGCAGCAGCAGGTGGCCCGAATGCTCGGTCCCATGTCATCCATGTTCCTACATGGATAATTTCAGGCTTCAGCCTGGCCCAGCCCTGGCCATTGCAGCCATGTGGGGTATGAGCCAGCATGTGGAAGAGCTCTTTCTCTCTGTAACTGCCTTTAGAATAGATAAAATAAATCTTCGAAAAAGAGAACCATCTCCTACTACTCCTGCAGAGAACCTTGGGAGACGGTCCCCAGGGCCACCATGCCTGACCCAGCGAGGGCCGGGGAGGGGGCACCGGATTGCCCTTTCTGCACCTTTATCCCCACCCCAGCCCCTGCTGCTCCCAGGGTGAGGGGACACTTGATGAGCTTTGAGCTCCAGGCTTCCGTAGTCAAGGGTGCCCTGAAGCAGACCAGAGGCCTTCTCCCACAGTGTGTCGTCTGTGGGAGGCAGGGGCCACAGACAGGAGGAGGCCCTGCATTCCCGAGCAGGTACCTGCAGAGGAGGGGGCAGAGTATGGGGCACAGAGCCACCGGGATGGACCCCTGGGGCTGCTGGCAAGAGCCTGGTGGCACAGCAATCCACGAGGGGTCAGCTAGAATTGCCCAGTCCATGTGCACCGCCCATGCCCAGCCCCTACCAGCTGTCTCATACACAAGGAGTGAAGGTGGCACCATCTCTACCCAAGAGAGGGGGACAGGGAGTCGGCCAAGCTAGGGCCCGGGATGCCCACACTCACTAGGTGGCCATGGACTTCTCCTGGAAAGTGACAAAGGCCATCCCGAGGGGCTGGTCCTGGACCCGGCGTTCCTCCTCGGTGATCCTCTCCAGCAGCCTCTCCTTCAGGCGTGTGTAGTAAGAGATGGCATCCTCCTGCCGGCAGACACAGCCCCGGGGGGTGAGGCGGCCCCGTGCTGGGGTCGGGGACCCACTCCCAGCGGGGGAGGCCGCGGGGCCCTTACCCGCTCACACCCACGGACTTCGCAGCAGCAGAACTGGCCACAGGGCTTGGGGTTGATGAGGGTGGGCCGGCCGCTCTTCACCTGCAGGTTTGTGTAATAGGCCAGGCTCTTCTCGGTCTTCTTTCTGCAGGGTGGGGGGGAAGTTGAGGGGCACAAACTTCAGATCCAGTCCTGTGGCTCGGACCCCACATCTATGGCTCAACCACCAGTGGCCAAGAGAGAACAGCTTTCCAAAACAAGGAGGCAGGGCACCCCCCTCTTCCCCTCCCAGCTGGGGGACCCTGGGCCAGCAAGAGCAGGTGGGCATCAGGGCAGGGGGCGGGGCTGGAAAGCACCCAGCCTGCCCACCGCCGCTCCCTTACCTCTCTCTGCACAGGTAGATCAGCTTGGCCACGTTGTAGCACAACTGCACATCCAGCACCTCACACGTGGGGTACGCGTCCCTGGGGCCAGCGCCGGCCAGAAGCAAAAGCAGCCATTGTAAAAGAGAACCCTCAGCAGGAGAGTGCCCTCATCTCCAAGCTTGCTTCTGGGCCGTCCGAGACCGCTTCACTCTTTATTCTCCCAGAGGGAAGCAGTTTGGAATTTAACACAAATAGGCCTTTCTCAAGGGTACGCAGTCACTGCTGGTGGTGGGGACGCTTCCACCCACTCGGCTTTCAGCCAGCGGGCTCCCTTCCCCTCCGACCACACCAGCAGAGTCATCGTCTGCTCCAGGTCAGCACCTGCCAGGCCATCGCTGAAGCACTACCAAGGCTGTAACCTTTTTGAACGTCACAGACCTTTTAGAGGGTCTAAGGAAAGCAAGAGATTCTCAAACCAGAAAACGTCTATGCACATAGCAACAACCACAAAATACATACTCGCCGTTGGCCAGGTGTCGTCGCGATCTGATTTATTTATCCTCATCATAATCTGTGAGGTTTTGCCCTCATTTTACAGATGAGAAAGTGGAGGCCCACAGAGGTGAAGCGGCTTGTGCCCAAGGTCAATGGTCATAGCCCCCACGCATCACCCCCTCACCACAAACACAGAACCACATAAATCCCAACCTACATGGGGCCGGCACTGTGGCACTGCAGGTAAAGCCACAGCCCAAGATGCCGGCATCTCATATGGGCACTGGTTAATGTGCCAGTTGCTCCACTTCTAATACAGCTCCCTGCTAATGCACCTGAGAAAGCAGCAGAGGATGGCCCAAGTGCTTGGGCAGCTGCACCCGAGAGAGACCTGGCTTCAACCTGGCCAAGCCCCAGCCATTGTAGGGAGTGAACCAATAGATAAAAGATTTCTCTCTCCCTTTCTAACTCTGCCTTTCAAATTAATATATATTTTTTAAGATTTTTATTTTTTTATTTGAAAGGTAGAGTTACAGACAGTGAGAGAGAGACAGAGAGAAAGGTCTTCCTTCTGTTGGTTCACCCCCCAAATGGCCACTGCGGCCGGCGCGCTGCGTCAATCTAAAGCCAGGAATCAGGTGCTTCTTCCCGATCTCCCATGCGGGTGCAGAGGCCCAAGCACTTGGGCCATCCTCCACTGCCCTCCCGGGCCACAGCAGAGAGCTGGACTGGAAGAAGAGCAATCGGGACTAGAACCCGGCACCCATATGGGATGCTGGTGCCGCAGGCGGAGGATTAACCTAGTGTGCCACCGTGCAGGCCTCTCAAATAAATATTAAAAATAAACAAATAAATAAATCGCAACCTATTACTATTCTAGGTGCTGGGAACAGAGCCTGGACAAACTCACATTTTACGAGAGACACAGCCCACATACATGTCAGTCACTCAATTACTGGGGCAGGGGCCAGCACTGTGGGGTGGGGGTTAAGCTACTCCACTTCCAATCCAGCTAGTTCCAGGCTCCTGGCTTCAGCCTATCTCCGCCTCAGCCATTGCAGCCATTTGGAGAGTGAACCAGTGGATGGAAGCACTCTCTCACTCTCTCTCCTTCTAAATCTGCCTTTCAAATAAATCAACAAATCTTAACAAAAAAAAATTTTTTTTTAAAAATCAATGGAGGCCGGCGCTGCGGCTCACTAGGCTAATCCTCTGCCTTGTGGCGCCAGCACACTGGGTTCTAGTCCCAGTCGGGACGCCGGATTCTGTCCCGGTTGCCCCTCTTCCAGGCCAGCTCTCTGCTGTGGCCAGGGAGTGCAGTGGAGGATGGCCCAAGTACTTGGGCCCTGCACCCCATGGGAGACCAGGATAAGTATCTGACTCCTGCCATCAGATCAGCACGATGCGCCGGCCGCAGCGCACCGGCCGCGGCGGCCATTGGAGGGTGAACCAACGGCAAAGGAAGACCTTTCTCTCTGTCTCTCTCTCTCACTGTCCACTCTGCCTGTCCAAAAAAAAAAAAAAAAAATCAGTGGAACAGTCTTAGGTCCCCATAAGAGCGCTGAGAGCGAGCCGCAGTTTAAGCAATCCACGCACCACTCCCCACAGACCACAGCAGAGCTAAGAAGCTTCCTGAACAGGGAGAGAGGGACTCAATGATGTTTGGGGTGCAGGGGACTCTTTTCTGCTCAATGCACAGCTAAGTGGGACTACGGTTTCCAGACGGTACACAGCAGGCGACTCTGGGCAACACGATTTCCGTATCGAGTATTCGCATCTAAGTGAGCATCTCTACATCACTTGGAGTTTCTGAAGAATGCATTTTCAACATCCACTGCATGATTCTATTGATATCTAATAACTCATTGAGTGCTTTCCTCATAAGCAGCACAAAATTAAATGGAACCTATGCAGACAACAAGTGAGTGGTTGCGCCCAGTGAACTGATCCGCAGCGTTCAAGGCAGGTCTTCGAGTCCTCTAGCATGGTATCCGGGAGCCCTCTGGGCACTAGACCCCCAGCCCAGCACCAGTCGTTACTCCCACAAGGATGCCAGGCCTTCCTCCCAGTCTCCAAGCCATCTTCCACCCGCAGCCGCTGCTGGTGCCCACACTCCCCGGGGGCTGCGGGAGAGGCGGCTCTGGATGAACCCGCAGACACACGTGGCCTTGAGGCCCTGCCCCGGCTCAGGCTCCCGCCCTGCAGGCTGGCACACAGCCTCCACTCCCATGTCCCTATTCTGCAAGGTGACTCCCTCAGGTGTCACTGAGAACCTGGAGGGGGAGGGGGCGTTTTCTCCCCCTGTACTGTGCCTCTCCCAGCCTGCACTGGGGCCACCCCAGCCTCGTCTCTCTCACGGTCCCAGCAGAGCCAGCACATGGCAGCCATTTGACACCAGCGTGGCAGGGCCAGGTCCTTCTCTGATGTCACCTGGATGCCAGGTAGAAGGTGCAAGGGCTCCTGTAAGGTGCCTGCCTGAGGGACTGTGGCGGCCCCACTTGGAAGAGACTCAGCAACCCTTCCATCCAGGAGTCCTGCTCACCGGAAGTGGCTCTCCACAGTCTCCTTCTTGGCCTCCCTGGGGAGTCCGGTGATGAACAGGGTCCGCCTCACCTGCAGGAGGCAGCAGCAGCGAGGAAAGTCATGGGAGCCGGCCAGCGCGAGGGGCCAGGCTCCCACCCCAGCCAAGCCTCTCCCAAGGCAGCACTGGAAATGCGCGGGAGCCCCTCTGCGTGGCAGGAGACGGAGAGAGCACCCGGGGGAGGAAGTTACTCAAATGGGGTCCCCCAGCAGATCAGAGCAGGCCCCATGCAGGGCCCCACGTGGCACAAACTCCCCGTCCCGCCAAGCTGTGAGGCAAAGGGGCTGCTCTCACCCCGCACTTCTTTACTTAACCTCAGCAAGCACTGCCCAGACCCCACAGGTCAAAGGGCAAAGGACGGGGCGGGGCCCGGGGGTGGGGGGGGTGTTCCAAATTTACAACAACCTACCAGGAAATTAAAACATGAAAAAAGCCTGTCACAGGCCGGCGCTGCGGCTCACTAGGCTAATCCTCCGCCTTGCGGCGCTGGCACACCGGGTTCTAGTCCCGGTTGGGGCGCCGGATTCTGTCCCGGTTGCCCCTCTTCCAGGCCAGCTCTCTGCTGTGGCCAGGGAGTGCAGTGGAGGATGGCCCAAGTACTTGGGCCCTGCACCCCATGGGAGACCAGGAAAAGCACCTGGCTCCTGGCTCCTGCCATCGGATCAGCGCGGTGCGCCGGCCGCAGCGCACCGGCCTCGGCGGCCATTGGAGGGTGAACCAACTTCAAAAGGAAGACCTTTCTCTCTGTCTCTCTCTCTCTCACTGTCCACTCTGCCTGTCAAAAAATAAAAAAAATAAAAAAAATAAAAAAAATAAAAAAATAAAAAAAATAAAAAAAATAAAAAGCCTGTCACAGCCCAGTGGGAGCACGAGTGTGCAGGCTGGCTGGTGCTGTCCTGGCACCGTGGTCTCAGGCTGCGATGCCCTTCCCTCCCCAGCCCCCAGCTACACGCACCAGGCTCTCCTCCTTGTACTTGATGGACCGGGTGTGGTGCCACATGAAGCCCACGGTGAGCAGGAGGTAAACGACGGCAAAGACGGTGTGCAGCCAGAGGAGGTCGTTGCTGAGGGGACATCGCCTGCGTCAGCAGTGGCGGGGCCAGGGTGCTCCCAGCGGGCCCTGAACCGGGGGGCGAATAGCTTCACCCCAACAGGTGCCTCCAACAGAGGCCGTCTGGCCTACCCCCCTCTGCCCACCAGGAACACCGAGAGTGCCAGTGCTGACAAATGAACTCCAGATCCCCGGGGCCTCCCTGTTCTGGAGCCCCCTCCCCCAGCCATGGCAGCAGCCTGCGGTGTTCCAGGCCCAGGCCCAGGGGCACGGCAGCCACAGCGGCTTGCAGACCCCAGCCTACTGCTCCAGGCCTCCTCCGGCGGCCCTGGGGCTCCAGGGCCTTCCTTCTGCCGGGACCCAGCCACGCACCCCCTCCAGCCCGCGGCAGACACCGACACTCACTCGGTCTGCAGGTTTGCTATCGTCGTCCTCCCGAAGCTGTAAGGGTCCTTGTCTGCCGGGAAGCAGAGACTTAGTGGCAGGGCCGCAGCGCAGGAGCAGGAGGGGCTGGCCTTGGTGCACGGAACTCAGAGGAGAATCAGTGCCCAGTGCAGGGACGCCAGGCCCAGTCGGGGCTCCTGCCTACTGCAAGGTGCCCCCAGCAACTTCTCAACTCACTGTCGCGGGCGAAGGCAGGGGACTCATCTTGCCTTCAGGTGTTCTGTTTTGTTTTGTTTTGAAGATGTTTCAAGAAAACGGCAAACACCCTAAGCTGTTGCCAACTCCAAGGCTGGGCACGAGGGACACCCTAAGTGGGCGCAGGACGGTGTTTCAGGCGGCGGATGCCTGCAGGTACCCGCAGCTGCACTCGGATTCCACTGAGCACCACCGACATCCCCCGGCACCCCCAACTGCTACCTCCTAATTTGGGTGAGAGCGAGAAAGTAGAAAACACCCACCTAAAGTCCCCGGTTCTCTAAGTCTTGGGGTTTTTCCCTACTATTTAGATAGGACTAAAAACTGATATTAGGGGCCCTAGCTCTTATTCCGAGTTTGGGGTACATTTTTCTCCAGATTTTTTTTTGACAGGCAGAGTGGACAGTGAGAGAGAGAGAGACAGAGAGAAAGGTCTTCCTTTGCCGTTGGTTCACCCTCCAATGGCCGCCGCCAGCGCACTGCGGCCGGCGCACCGCGCCTATCCAAAGGCAGGAGCCAGGTGCTTATCCTGGTCTCCCATGGGGTGCAGGGCCCAAGTACTTGGGCCATCCTCCACTGCACTCCCTGGCCATAGCAGAGAGCTGGCCTGGAAGAGGGGCAACCGGGACAGAATCCGGTGCCCCGACCGGGACTAGAACCCGGTGTGCCGGCGCCGCAAGGCGGAGGATTAGCCTAGTGAGTTGGGGCACTGGCCACATTTTTTTCCAGATCTGTAACCAGATGGTCACCTCCAGACACCTTCCCCCACCAGAAAGGCTGGCCACCACGGGCCCCCTCCCGAGAGCTGTGCCCCCCACCCCGGGTCCCAGGCGCGCAGGCAGGGACAGGAGCTCACCCAGCAGGTCTCCCGAGAGGTTGACGGGCAGGATGACGCACAGGGACAGGAGGCTGAGCAGCACCAGCAGGAAGATGATGTGTCTCTGGAAGGACAGGTAGTGGATGGCGTCCTCCCCACACCACTGCAGAATCTGGTCATCGCTGCCGGAGACACAGGCACCACCTTAGCAAGCACAGGACAGGCACCCTGGGGCCTCACCTAGATCACCCCGTCCAGTCCCCACGGCAGTCCTAGAAACTAAGCTCTCTGTGTTTTCACATGTGAAGAAAGCAAACAAGTGGAGGGTCACAGCAGGGCTGCGGTGTACCGGAGCCCGGCCCTTCAGCCCCCTCACCACGCCCAGGGCGGAGGCACGGCCACCACTCCGAGCCAAAGGCGAGGCGTATGAACTGCATCCCAGACTGCACCTCCTGCTCCACAGCCAGACGGCTGCTGGTCTCATCCCGAATGTGGCTGGGATATGTCCAGCCCCAGGCCCCACCCAGTCCCCTGGCTCCCCTCAGGCCACTGGGCGGGAGAGGTGAACCCGGTCTTCCCCTCCTCCAGCCCCAGGGAGGGGAGGCGATCTGCTCCACCCCTCTGTGCCAGTGCTAGGAGGCTCTGGGCCAACTCAGAGTCCAGGCTCGGCCAGCTGCTCAGTCCACCGGCTCTTCCCACAGGCCTCTGTCTCGGGAACAAGCCCTGGCCAACCTGCCCATACACAGCACCCCTCCCCCATCACGTACTGGTTAACCTGACTTACTAAAGCGTGGGTTATCCCCAGCCTCCTCTGCTAGCTGGGGAAACTGAGGCCCAGGGAGAGGGAGTAACCCAGGGTCCTGCAACCCCCATCGTTCATCAATTCTAAGATGCCCTTTTCCTATTTCAACACCTCGTAAATGGGCCGCACCTGCAGCTACAGCTGCTGGTAGCTTAACCGGCTGCATTTTCCTGTTCTTGGTGCTGTGCAACTTAACACACCCCCTAGAAAAAGCCTCCTTAGATGCAAAGGAATGGGGCAAGGGGACAGACCAGGACCCATATCTGGGCCCCCACTCCCAGCTCCTGCCATGAGAGACGACTTTCACTAGCGCTTAATCACCAGCCACATCTTTCAGACTTCTCTCCATGGACCCCAAGTTTTGAGAAAAACCAAATGAGCTTACTGTATTTTATTTCTCCACTTTCCACTACTTCAAAGACATGGAAACCTGCCTAGAAGAGCTTCCGTCCACAAGGGATGTGTTAAATAGAATAATAAGTCATCTTAGGCAGGATTATGACAGAGGAACAGGTGCCAGGGCGGGCGCTGTGGTGCAGCAGGTTACACCTCTGCCTGGGGCGCCCACACCCCCCATCACAGCACCTGGATGGAGCGCTGGCTGCCCCGCGCTTCCCATCCAGCTCCCTGCTGATGCACTTGGGAAGGCAGCAGATGATGGCCCACGTACTCGGGTTTCTGCCAGCCACCCATATGAGAGACCCAGAGGCAGTTCCAGGCTCCTGGCTTCAGCCTGGCCTAACCCTGGCTGTTGAAGACATTTGGGGAGTGAACCAGCAGGTGGAAGATATCTTTCTCTATCTCTATCTTTCTCTCTCTCTCTCTGTATGTGTGTGTGTGTCTTTCCCCTTCTCTGTACTCTGCCTTTCAAGTAAGTAAATAAATCTTAAAAAAAAAAAAAAAAAAAGATGAACACAGGGTTTCCACTAAATACCTTGACATAAAGTTCATGACCACCTCAAGAACCCATGGGATCCACCTGCAGCTGGGTGGCCCCAAACTGCAGCAGGCTCTACGTGCCCTCCAGCACCGAGGCTCCCATCCTCAAGGCCTCTTTTCCCAGAGACCCCGCTGCTGAGGGCTGCCTGAGTCACCTTTGTTCTCAGCCCCCACGTCCTGTCTGGGACCTGAACTGAGACATATCCAGGAGACTCCATCTTAGGATCAGCACCTCGGCTCTTTCCCCAGCTGGCCAAATACCCAAACAGTCAGGCCCCAGCAGAGGCCCCAACAGCTGCCTGTGGTACTCACTGCAGACGGAAGATGGCAGTCAGCCAGGGGCAGCATCCCTGCAAAGAGAGTGGGGATCAGCTTCCAACACCTGTGCCCGGGAGGCAGGTGTCAGCCTCCTCTTTGATACTAAGTAACCACTTTCCTCCTCTTGTATCTCTGCCCTGTTCCTGCCAGCTGCCCCCGCCCAGTCATGACAGAGAACCAGTCCTTTGCCACTTGCATGCCCTGCCTAGAATTCTTGAGAAAATCTCTCAAGCTCTACAACTTGTAGAATCACTGAAGCCCCAGGTGACATCAGGAGACAGCACACAGGCGCACGTCTGATGGTTTCAAAGTGACTGAAATGAGCGGTGGGACAGAAGAGAAGAGTCCAGCCTATGGCTCTGGACTGCCCCGTGGAGTGGGGTTCAGAGAGGAAAAGGCGTATCTGGGGGTTCTATTGTCCTTCCCACCTTTAATCCTCGCCAGAGAGGTGCTGCTCCTAGTCTGGAAAAAGACAAATATTTGCCTATCATTCATTCAACAATGACTAAGCCCCTGCCAGGTCCCAGTAGAGAACAGAGCTGGAGAAGGCAGGGCCCCTGCCCACACTTGGCTCCTAATCTAGCAGACCAGTCAATAATTAACTGCCACCAGAGTCACAGGTGTGGTAAGAGCCAAAGCCCAGGGGGTGCTGTGCCCGTTTTGCTTTCACATTCATGGAGCTGCAGGCTCCCCCCGGGGATTCTTCCAAGTTCAGAAAGGTGCTTTCCCCAGAACTTGCTACTCAGGGACTAAATTCACTGTGGAACCAAGAGGACAGCTGCCCCCCCCCCCCCCCCCCCCCTTACCATGAGAGGCGCACCACCCTTGCACGGGATGGGCGGGGAAAGAAAAAAGGGCTTTTTTCTAAGATTGGTGTCCCGGGGGAGAAGGTGATGAAAAATCCCGGGTTTGGGGGCCGCCGAGAGACATAAAAGAAAAAAAATTACATTTGTAAAAAAAAATCCAGAAATGATGTCCAGGACTTTGCTGCCTCTCAGGGCTCAGGACCAAAGCCAGCAGCCTCCCATGTGGGAAGTGAGATGAGGGAAATGCTGGTTCCCAGGTGCCGCGCAAAGCTCTGTTACCTGGGGTGATTACACGGGCTCAAAGCCTTCCCTGAGCCCACACCCTTCAGCCTCTGGAACTCGTCCACCTAAAGTGACTTCAAAGTGTTGTCTGCTCACAATGCATTTCATAACATAGCAAATAAAGCTGAAAATGAGTACTGCATTCCCCACATCCAAGACACCACGTGTGTACAGTACGTAACTATTTTATGAACCAGTAAGAAATAAAATCCTGCCAATTAGACTGATCACCACTGATCACAAGATGCATGCCAATGTCAGAGGTGAGAAAATGCCAGCACGCAGACGCTAGAGTTGCTGAGCTGCGGCACCTTGACCGGACCCCCCCCCCCCAGCACCCCGGGAAGATCCCCTGTTCTCTCGGACGTAGAGGCATCTTCTTTTTTATTTTATTTATTTATTTTTTTATTTTTTGACAGGCAGAGTGGACAGTGAGAGAGAGAGACAGAGAGAAAGGTCTTCCTTTGCCGTTGGTTCACCCTCCAATGGCCAGCGCGCTGCGGCCAGCGCACCGCGCTGATCCGATGGCAGGAGCCAGGAGCCAGGTGCTTTTCCTGGTCTCCCATGGGGTGCAGGGCCCAAGCACCTGGGCCATCCTCCACTGCCTTCCCGGGCCACAGCAGAGAGCTGGCCTGGAAGAGGGGCAACCGGGACAGAATCCGGCGCCCCAACTGGGACTAGAACCCGGTGTGCCGGCACCGCTAGGCGGAGGATTAGCCTAGTGAGCCGCGGCGCCGGCCGAGGCATCTTCAATATGTGACTGCTTACTTGTCTCTATTCCCTGCTCCTGGCTCCACAGTCCCTCCTCGAATGGCATAAAACATGACACAACTTCACTTTCAGAGCACTTACCCAGCCATTTTCTCACACTCACTCCACGGGGGAGGGAGGGAGGAAACAGACCCCAGGTGGCGTGGGGACTCGGCAGGGCCTCCTGAAGCCCAGGTGCACTTGGCCTGCTCAAGGCTGAACAGGTCACAGGCACAGCAGACGTGCCAGAAGGTTCTCCCCCAACTTCAAGGTCATCCCCTTGGGCTTTCACCAATGCCAGAAGAGAGAACTTGGGGAAGGAAGTGCACTTACAGACATACCTCCTCTTTCCGGGAGAGAGGGGGACACCCCATGGGCCACACCTCCACAGGAGCCTGTGCAAGCCTCCTCTTTGATACTAAGTAACCACCTTCCCAGCCTCCCTGACTTCTCCCCCACTTGCTTCTTGTTGCTGCATCTGACACAAGATCCGGCATGTGCAACGGCCAGCTGCAGCTGGAAAGTCCGGTTGCACAGAGCAGACCGGGAGTTCTTTCCCACTCAGAGGCAGGGAACAAGCAGGGAACAAAGAGTCGGCGTAGAGCCCGCGATCCCCGCCCTGACCCAGCCGGGCAGCTCCCTACGGCCCAGCTGCTCTCCATAACGCGCTCCGCCAGCCCCCGCCCTGAGTCCTGGACAGAAAGCAGGATTCCCTCAGTTACCCCGAAAGCCCTAAGGGAACAGTTTCCTCAGTCACAGCCACGGCCCAGCCAGAAAGCCCCGAGAGAGCTGGGCCCCTGGGCCTTGATTTGTGTAGGAGCACAGTGAAGGCAACGGGGTGACCTCAGGGTCTGAGGCGAGGAGTGGACAGGACACAACCTCAGGGAACACAGGCTACTGCCACGGTCAAGTGTGGGCGCTGGCTGCACAGCGGGCCTTGCAAGCACCCGGCCCACTCCAGAGTATGTGTGTGTGTGGTGTGTGTGTGTGTGTGTGTGTGTATCTAACACATACACAGAGACACACACACGCCCACAGCGTAGGCTCCCTGCCTTTCTTTTTTTTTTTTTCTTTTTTTTTTGACAGGCAGAGTGGACAGTGAGAGAGACAGAGAGAGAAAGGTCTTCCTTTTGCCGCTGGTTCACCCCTCCAATGGCCGCCGCTGCAGCCGGCGCACCGCGCTGATCCTGGCAGGAGCCAGGAGCCAGGTGCTTTTCCTGGTCTCCCATGGGGTGCAGGGCCCAAGCACCTGGGCCATCCTCCACTGCACTCCCTGGCCATAGCAGAGAGCTGGCCTGGAAGAGGGGCAACCGGGACAGAATCCGGCGCCCCAACCGGGACTAGAACCCGGTGTGCCGGCGCCGCAAGGTGGAGGATTAGCCTATTGAGCCACGGCGCCGGCTGCTCCCTGCCTTTCTTACCTGTCTGTTTCTGACACCAGGGCGATGCGGCCATAATCCCAGAATCTCCTTCTAATGATGGAAAAAACCCCGATTAAAATCTAGAAGCAGAAAAGAAACCAAGTCAAAATCCATCCGACGGCTTCTAACAGAGGAGACCCCTGCCCAGGCTCAGCAGGGCTAGCAGGAGGTCACCCAGGCCCAGAGAGGGCGTCTAGCTACCCAAGGTCACACAGCCCAGGGGCCTGATGTGCTGCTCCCAGCACCCAGGCGCTCAGTGCTAGAGCCTGCCCAGCCAAGCGCATCAGCTCTGTGCTTTGCTCTCAAGGCAGTGTCAGCACTGAGGCCCTGACCCACCGCCAGCAGGCCCTGAGCCAGGGGGCAGGGTTGGCCCCCTCCTTGCATAATTTCATTTTTAGTTAAGAACAGAGGTAGCAGAGCATCCCCAGGCTGAGCCAGGAGTGGCCCGGTTTCTCCGAATTCAGGTCTCCCACAGGCAGCTCAGCTCAAGGTCTCTCTTTATCCCCTGGTTCTAGAAATCCACAAATTCCAGCCTGCTCCCCACTCCCACCTCGGCTCTCTGACCAGGGAGGTGGAAAGGGACCCCAAAATTAGCTCCAGTCAGAAACTGGGGTTTTAAGGGGAGGGTCGCATCTCCAGGTGAATCAGGAAGTCAGTGCTGGTCGCTCAGAGGCAGGTGAGTCATGGCAGCCTGCCTGGGACAGCTGCTGTCTTGGCACATGGGGTGTGGACACCTCCCACACGTCCGTGTTCCCCAGGCCCTCCTGGCCCTGTCGCCTCCCCCACAGTCCGCTAGGTTCCTGCAGTACAAACCCACCCAGCCCAGCTCACTGCACCAGAAGGGGACACTCTCGAGCCCTTCTGTAGCCATACCATCTCCGCCAGGTCCCCTCTCCCGACTCTGTCGTCACCCTGGAGACCTGGGCCACCCCCTCCATGAATCCGACTCCCAAATCCACCGCCAGCGCCCTGCCTGGCCCTGCTTCTCCACCAAGATTGATGTATACCACAGGGCTCTCCGCTGACAGCAGACTGGAGCTCTGAGAAATGGGTCCGTGTGGTACGGACAGAGCCCTTTTCCAGGAAAGCAAAGTGGGTGGCCTGCAGGTCCCCAGTCCGGAAAGGAGCAACAATGCAGCAAAACTCTAATGTGATCATGTGGTTCTTACACCCAGGAACAAAACACAGGAAGAGAAGGGGAACCCCCCGCCCCCTTCTGATGAACATGTTTGAGGCCAGCAAACTTGTGACCGCTGCCCTTCCTTCCTGCCTCTGAGGGCCCCGTTCCCTCAGGAACTCCCCCTTACTCCCCCTCCCCAGCTCCCCCCACCCAGCCTCCGTTCCATGTTAGGAGATGGCATCAGGAGTGCCCGACCCTCCCACAGGCATCTGGGAACAGCAAGTGCACTTTAACCCCAGGAAGCCCCAACTAGCCAGGGCCGTACAAGGAAGAACATATTTCAAATTGAGGGGCTCTCTGTGAACAAAAGGTTTATGCTGAACGAGGACTGAGGTCAACTCTGAGACACAGGGCCCCAAGGGATCCTAGAGGGGAACTGGTGGTGACGCTGACACCTGCAGTGCTCTGAGACGGACCCTCCCCAAGGGCCTTGGAGCAATCCAGGGGCGGCTGGATGTCTTCTCCACATCCAGGGCTTGGCCAGACCTCTCCAAAATTCTCCTGGGTAGGAATCGTTACCTCCATTTTCCTAACAGCTGGAATGCAGCAGAACTGGGACGTAAGCCCAGGGATGTGTGTCTGACTCCTCACCCGTGTCTCCCCCAGAGCCCTGGCTGGAGGATTCAGACAGACGAGTAAAGAGGGGACCTGCCCACCCAAGCTCTCACCAGGAAGCAGCTGACGTCTATGAGCAGGACGGTGGGGACGCCGCCGAAGGTGACCCCCTGCAGCACGGTGCTGTTTTTGGCCGAGTTGTAGCAGTAGGAGTCGTTGGGCTGGTCCCCGAGGCCCAGGCGCTCCCGGATGGACACGGCCTGGGGCTGCCACAGATCCAGAAATGGGGAGTCGGTCATGGCGCCTGCCCTCCCTGGAGAACAGAACGATGCAGGTGGTCAGGGCTGGAGCTGCTCCGTGGCTCCTGCAGGGGCCGGCAACCCAGGACCAGGGAGAGCTGGACACTGGCCCTTCGCGTGCCTGGCAGTGGCCGCAGAGAATAGTTCCATTGTAGGAAGAGTCCCAGAGAGTCAGATGGCCGGCGCAAATGGCTCACTCGAGACACAGTGGGCGGATCTCCAGGAAGGCAAACAGGGAGAAAGGAGGTGGCAGGGACAGAAGTTGTTGGAGTTCCTCTGGCCTCAGGGACTGCTGCTGGGGTCCTGTGGGACAGGGGCTGGGGACACGAAGGCAGGGAAGAGGACAACACAGATGCGACCCAGGGGGAGGGAGCAGCGAGGCTGATGTTGATCCGTCGGAGCCACAGACAAGACCTCACTCACTGCTGCTGTCACAGGACATCAGAGGTGGGGCCTCAGGGATGGGCCAATCCCATGCACCTGGAAACTGCGGCTCAGAGTTTGACAAACCAGCCCCAAGATAGAACAGAGTCTCAACCAGTTCCCAGACAACACACTCTTTTCCTTCCACACCAGGCGACTCACAAACAGGTGTGAACTCACTGAGACCAAGCACCTGGCTTCAGAGGGGGCAGCCAGAGAGCATGAGAGGACAGTGGAGAAGGCAGAGGGGGCAGCCAAGGGCGTGGACGGGGACAGGAAGGAAGTCTCAGGCCCTCCTCAAGGGCTCCAAGAAGGCCCCGTATTTCCAAAGCGAACACAGCTGTTGACAACACACGGGCAGGTGCACCCACCCACAGGAAGTGCAGGAAGCATGGGTGGGTAGGTGGCAGCCCCAAGGGCATGGGAGGGCTGCCCGGAAGGCCGAGTCACTTTCTCAGGCGCTGTAGGTGGCAGGGGTCGTGACGGCAGGGATGTGAAGCATGACAGGCAGCTTCCCTCCCCGCAACCCCACCAGGGGCACCACTGGGATGCAGCACTGCGCCCGTGCTGAAGTCAAGGCCTGTCCCACACTTCCCAGACGCTGCCGGGGCAGGTCCATGAGAGAGGCCCTCAGCGGGAGCCGAGAAAGGCGAAGGCAGCGCTGGCCACCTCCGGAGCCGGGAGCCGGGAGCCTGGCCCCGGGCCTGCCACTCGTGTCCTGCGATCCCAGCCTCCACAGCCGTCCCTGCCCCGAGGGGGACAGGGGCACTGCCCTTCTCCAGCTTAAGGGTCCTGGATGGAAACCCCCTCCGCACATTCCCCCTGCGCAAACGTAGGACTCAGATGCCCCCATGGAGCTCCTGTGCCCCCCAGTGGGCTCCCTCCTCCCTGGGTCTCCCCTAAACTCACAGAAGTGGCTCCCTTCGGTGGGTGCACCCCTGAGCTGCCCACTCCTCCTCACCCACAGCACCCACGGCTGGGGGCCCTGCTGGGGCGAGAGGAAGGGTCCTCACCTCCGGATGCACAGGTGGCTGTGGGCTTCAGCGAGACCTCCAGGTCAGGCCTCACGCAGGCCCCAGGACTGCGGCTGCTAGGGAGGACTTTGCTCCCGAGGCCAGAATCAGGGACTCAGCTGAAAACAGGGAAGGCTTGAAAAGTGAGTGGAAAGGAAAAAACACCCTCACCAAATGCTCACAGAGGGCGCACTGTCCCCAGCAGGCCGCGGCGGCCGGGGCGGTGCCGGGTGGGGGCCAGGGCCCTTGGTCGAAGCTGCTTCCTGCGGTGGCAGAGGGGCGGGAAGGCAGGCCGGCCTGCGCCTCCTCTCAATCACTTCGCTCTGGCCCAGCAGGCTCCCCAACGTGGGCTTAACAAGTTTGATGAGAAACAGGCAGGGAAGCCGGCCTGGCCCCCGGACGCAGGCACCAGGGGAGGGCACGCCTTTGGGGGTCCACTGCGTCTCTCAGACCTTTCAGCCAGGGCACAGCCCATCCCTGACCCCGAGACGGACGACGTGTCCAGACTCTGCTGAGGCATCTGGGCCCCTCTGGCTAGCATGGGCCACACTGTGGGTCTTCCCCAGCGGGCTCAGCCCCCGCCCCCACCGACACTGCTGCGTGTGTGTGAACCACGTGGGAATGCCAGTCACTACCCGTGCCTTCCAGAAAGCATGCATCTCTTCTTCTGTCATCGCCGCCCCAACTTATGCCCCAAGGTGAAGCCAAGAGTTGCTTTCTGAACTCGGGCCCCCAACCCAAAGCTCAGCCCAGGAGCACCCAAGAGGCTGACTGTGGCCTGCAGAATAGGGCTGAACCCAACAGCTCTTCTCAACTTGCCAAGTAAGTAAACCAGCACCACGCACCCTGTCCACCTGAGCCGGCAGCAAGGCCCAGCTCTAAGCTCACTGGGCGATCTCCAAGCCTCCCTTCCAGAAACACGAGCAACAGGCTGCAGCAAGTGTGGGGGCATTACAGGTTCTGGCAAAAACGGCCCTGTGCCAACTCCGGGCACCTGGATCACCACCAAGTCTTTGAATTTCCTTAGCAGCTCTGGCCCTTCTGCCTCAGAAGCTCATTCTAATCTTGCTTCACAAAGTTGCAAACACAAACTTCTCCTGTGCACTGTCATGAGCAGGAGCCTGCACTTGAACCTGGAGCAGCAGGTGGTGCAGACCCAGGAGGCAGCCCGGCCTGCTGCGGGTTCTGTGAGCAGGCTCTGGGGTCGGGTCTCAGCATCAGGCGCCACTCAATCAGCTTAACCACTCCCGGCCTTGGCTTCCTTCTCCATAAAAGGGGAGTCATGGGCTTTTTCTGATGCTGCTGCCGGCCCACACCTGAGACAATCCTTGTAAAGCACTCAGCTCTGGGCCTGGCCCCACCTCTCAGGCTAATAGAAATGCAGCAGCAAACAGGGGCCCCCAAAAACCCAGACAGGCATCTGCCCCAACAGTAAGCAGGTGACAGGGGTACATGGAGGGAAAAGGAGGGTTTGGCTTTTGTCCACATCCACCTTAAGGTACAGCAGGCCTGAGGGTGCCCTGGCAGGGGTCAGAGGAGAGAAGGAAGACAGAGGGCCATAGGGGAGGGGAAGGAGGGCTACTTTTCCCCTGGGGGTGACCGTGAGTGTCCACAAGCCTCGGCAGCCAGGCAGGGAAGCCCCAGGATGCTTCCTTGTGTCCCCCGCGTGTGAACTGGTGACCACCATCTCCCAGCTTAGCTCCAAACCCTCAACAGGTAGGAGCAGGACAAAGCCATGGGCCATGGGGGCTGAGCGGCCGCGCGGGCAGAGATCGGGGAAGTGCAGGTCCCCGCACAGCGGCCCCCTGCCCTTCAGGGCGCCTGGGGTGGACCAGGTGCTAGAACCTCTGCGGATTCGGTTTCTGGGCAGAGCGCCCCTCGTTCTCCCTGCTGACCTTCCCCTCCCCAAAAGCCCGGCCTCCCGCCCCCGGCCGCGGCAGGGCTGCAGGCAGCGGCCACGAAGGGCCCGAGCCATCCCCGCGTCAGCAGGCTCCTCGCCCGCCCGGCCTCTTCCCAACCCTGCCTCGCCCAGGGTTGGGAACGGAAAAACACCCGGGGTCGTGCTCCTGGCCCGGTGGCAAGGTCCGACTCCAGCCCACAAACCCCAGAGACGGGACTGGGGAAGAGGCAAGATCGGCCGCCAAGGCGGAGAGCCGCAGCCTCGGAGAAGCTGTCAGGGGTCCCGAGGAGCGCGGGGCCGAACGCGGGGCGCCCCGGAGTCCCCCTGGCTTGCAAGCGCGGAACGCCGAGGCTGGCGGCAGACCCCGAGCTCCGGCGGCTGCTTCCTGCCCCTCCCCGGCGCCCCTTCCACTTTACCTGCGGCGGTGGCAGCGGGGGCAGATGTCCTTCCGCACCTGGCCGGGCGGGGCGACGTCCCCACCACTTAAAAGTTACAAAGTGAAACTCGGACGTCTCCTGCACATGCGCACAGCCGCGGCCGCCTCTAGCCCAATTTGGAGCCTGAGCCTGAGCCTGAGCCTGAGCCTGCGCCCGCGCCCAAGCGGCCCCAACGCCCCTCTCCGCCGTGTGCTGGCGTCCAGGGTCTAGGACCCCGGCGCACGCGGCGCGGGAAGGTCTCTGTGTTGCTCTGAATTTCGCGGACGGGCTCTGGGTCCCGCGCTGGTGGGCGGAGGTCGGGGAGCTCTGTCTGCAACGCCGCTGGGGCAGCCCCTGCAGTTGTCAGGAGCGGGGACCGTGGAACCCTGAGGCCCAGCATCCGGCCCCCGACGCGGGTCGCCGCACGGCCAGAGCTCCCCGGAGCCGAGCCAGGGGCGCTCAGCCCCGTCCAGCCCCATAGCTCCGCGCGCTCCCGGCACGGTAGCCGGGTCGTGGGCTGCCTCATTAGCCTCCGTCCCCGGGGTGCGCGCCACGCACGCTTGGGTTCCCGCATCCGCAAAACAAGGGCTCAGACCAAAGCTTCCTCCCAGCGCCTTCTCCGCTCCCCACTCCCCACGTGGGCAGCTCTGCAGCTTCCCTGACCTCTCTCTGTTTCTCAGCTTTCATCTGTCACTGGAATGATAAAAATACCCTCCTTGCCGCCTGTCCCTGATCCCCGCACTGGCCATGCCGGGGGAGGCGTGCCTCTCCGCCCCCCCTCCCCCAGTTCCTCTCTGTCCCATCCACCTCCTCCCCTCCCCCAAGCCCTAGCCGCTAGGCACGCCCCTGTCCCTGGTGTCTCCCCACTCCTGCTGTTCCCACCTGCCCCATGACCCCACCAGGTTCGTGGGTGTGGCCCCCTGGACTTGCCCTGGCTTCTCAGACTGCACCTGTCCAATCTTCTCCCCCTCCCCGAGTGTCCTCCCCCGCCCCCGCCTCCAGGACAGTGCCAGCCTGGTCAGTGTCCTGGATCCGGGGACCAGGAGGATGGGCCTGACTTAACCCTCTTCCCCGCTGTCCACCGACGGTTTGCCCCACTTGCCTTCTCTGCTTGCCTTTTCCTGCTCTGGGGGAGTGGGCACAAACTTCTGATGGAGGTGCAGCACCTGTCTGTCCCTCGGGCCCGGAAGGCAGAAGTGTCTGTCTAGGAGGTAGCGACAGGGCCAGACTCCTAGGCAGGGGTCTCTCTGAGCAGCCTCTGCCCACACCAGCCCCCTGCCTGCCTTATTTCAGCAAGGACCTGCCCACATGGCAGCCCTCTGCGGAATCTCACACTCAAACAAAAAGCTGGGCCTGCCCCTCACCAAGACACAGCCAGCAGGTGGTAGTCAGCCCCACAGGGCAGAGCTGCCTGAGGCCACTGTGTGGACCTGGCATTCTTTCCCTTGCTGGACTGAGCCCTGGACTGGTGTGCAGAGGGCTCCTGGGGAGGTGGCCCACCGTGGTTCCCGGTCCTGGGGAGACCTTGTCCAGAGAGCAGCCCAGCTCCCTTGCCTCTCTCTCCCCGTAGTTTAGGCTTGCGTAGCTAAAACTCTCATCGTTTTGTTCATTCCTTCAACAAATTTTGGTTTTGAACCTGCCAGGAACTGGGTGTTGTCTTGGCACAAGGACATTGCACAGATGGGCTGAGCTTGTGGAAGCACACACCTGCGGGGGTAGAGTAAATGGTTAAGCTACGAGATGGAGGAAATGTGTGCAGTACTCAGTGCCACAAAGCAGACAAACCGGAGGATAAGAGGGGAAGAGGAGCGGGAAGGGACACAGACATCCATGCATGGGCAAGAGAGGGCTTTCGGAGGAAGTGACATTTGATCTGAGAGATAAGAATTAGTGAATCTGGGGTTGTGGCACAGCAGGTTAAAGCCACCGCCTGCACTGCCAGCATCCTATGGGAGCCAGTTCAAGTCCCTGCTCCTCCACTTCCCATCCAGCTCTCTGCTATGGCCTGGGACAGCAGATGGCCCAAATCCTTGGGCCCCTGCGCCTACGTGGGAGACTCAGAAGAAGCTCCTGGCTCCTGGCTTCAGATCAGCTCAGCTCCAGCAGTTGCGGCCATCTAGGGAGTGAACCAGCAGATGGAAGACCTCTCTCTCTACCTCTCTCTGTAACTCCGTCTTTCAAATAAATAAAATAAATCTTTTAAAAAAAATTAGCAAATCCTGCCAAAGTCTGGAGAAAGGGCCTTGCTGGCAGAAGAAACAGCTCATGAAAAGCCCTGAGGGGACAGGCGTGGCATGTGGGGGAGGCCGTGGGGCCAGTCCTCAGGCTGAACCTGAACAGAGATGGGATCCGAGGGGACACCTGGCCCGGCTCAGCCTGGGCGGCATGCACATGGGAAAGAATTTTGAATTCTTTCCAGAGTGCAAGAAGAAGCCCTCGCAGGGTGTCTTCCTTTTTGAATACATACTTTGTTTTTTTTAGAGCTGTTTTAGGTTTGCAGTAAAATTGAGCAGAAGGTACCAAAGATTTCCATGTACCTCCTACTCCCCAAGTGCCTGATGTCCCCACTGTCAACACCCCCGCCCCGGCGTTGCACTTGTTACAGTCAGTGAACCCACGCTGGCCTATCAGTGTCAGCCTCGGTGTTGGAGCCGTGGGGATTGGGACACATGTACGATGCCGTGGACCTGCAGGGCAGTTTCTGGGCCCTAAACCCCCCATGTTCTGCCTGCTCCTCCCGTCTCCCCCCACCCCTGCAAACGCAGATCTTGCTACTGTCTCCATAGTTTTGCCTTTTCCAAAATGTCACAGACTTGGAATCAGAGAGAGTGTAGCCTTTTTAGATTGACTGCTTTCACAGTAACATGCCTTTAAGCTCCCTCTGCGTCTTTCCATGGCTGGATCGCTCATTTTTTTTCTTTGGTGCTAAATAACTTTCCATCGTCTGGATGCGCCACAGTTTACTTATCCCACTGAAAGGCATCGTCCAAGTTTTGACAGTTATGGATAAAGCTGCGACAAACACACACTTGCAGGTTTTGTGTGAGCATAAGTTTTAGTTCATTTGGGTAACTACCAAGGAGCATGATTATTGCTACATCTTGTGGCTGGAGTATATTTCATTGAGTAAGAAACAGCCAAACTGTCTTCCAAAATGGTTGTTCCATTTCACGTTTCCACCAGTGATGAGTAAGTGGTCCAGTTGCTCCACATCCTCACCAGCCCTTGGTGTTGTCAGTGTTTTGGATTTTGGCCATTCTAATAGTTGTGTGGTAGCATCAAATTGTTGCCTATAAAGGTCTTTTTATTCATTTGAAACCTTACAAAGAGAGAGATTGATCTTCCATCCACTGGTTCACTCCCCAAATGGCCACAGTGGCTGGAGCTGAGCCTGAGCCTGGCCCAGGCTGAAGCCAGGAGCCTGGAGCTCCATCCAGGTCTCCCACATGGGTGACAGGGATCTAAGCATTTGAACCAGATGGATTAACAGGGAGTGGAGTAGCCGAGGCTCGAACTTGTGCCCTTAAGGGATGCCGGCATCACAGGTGGTAGCATAACCTGCTGAGCCACAGCATTGGTCCCACTGTGATCCATTCTGAGTTAGTTTTTGGATGATTTTGACTGAGAGAGCCCACTTTCTAGTTAATGTCTGCTACAGCCTACCCTTGGCTGTGGGCTGGGGAATGGGAGTGGGACAAGGCAGTCGCATTGCCCTGGCAGGCAATGGAGCGTCGGGAATGGACGCGAGATGTGTTTGGACCCAAGGGACTTGCTAGGGATGGACTCTGAGGGATATGGATAGGGCAGAATCCAGACTGACTCCCAGGTATGGAGCCTGGCTGAACCTGAAGTGTCAAAGGACATTTGAATGCGGCCTCCAGCTGGAGGGAGGAGCCTGGGATGCGGCTGGGAAAGGTTGGCCCCTGGAGCCACCGGGTGCTTTAGAAGGGGGGGGGGAGGGGCAGCAGGCCAGGCTCTTCCACGACCTCCAGCTTTTTGCAACCTGCACATCAGACCCTGGGGCCTTCCTGGCCAGGGCTGGGCAGAAGGTGAGATGTCACAGATGCAAGGGATTGCTGGGTATGGGCCTGGCCAGGGGATCACAGGGACAGACAGAAAGCAAATAGCGCAGACAGCGGGCTAATATCCCTCTGCAAACATAGGTCTCCGTCCTGCAAGTGCACTCCAGATGGGTTCAAGAGTTCTGCTGGGGAATTAAATGAATTGGGCGAGCAGCCAGAAGAAAGTGAGTGTGGATTGGAGGCCCTTCACCCCACACTGTCGGAGGGAGGGCTGCTCCCCCTTTGTCATGCAGGAGAGGCAGCGAGCGGAAGCCCTGGGGGTGGGGCTGGGCCTGAGGCCAGGGTGGAGAAGCTGTTCTGTCCCTCCCAGCTGGGATTTGACCCCAGCCCGAGGTCATCCTGAGCCTCTCCGCAGGGTTGAGCTGGACCCAGGCCTAAGCTGGGAAATAAAGGGGCTCTGGGCCTGGTAGGGAGTCCAGAAGGGGTCTCCTTCAGGTTAGGGTGCAGCGTCTGGGAGGGCTCAGCAGAGAGGTGGCTGTGCCCTGCCTGCTCAGGGGCAGAGACTCCTGTGAGTGCTCAGGAAACACCCCAAGGCCAGACCAGACCGGACTCAGACACCCCAGGCTGCCGCACATCATCAACTCCCTCCTTCCCCCACTCCCCGCTGCCAGCCCCAGGAACTAGGAGCACATTTCAGTTCAGGCTTCAGCTCGGGCAGCCTCCCCTGGGCAAGTGTGAGCCCGGAGTTCAGTCCCGACTGTGTGGCTGTGTGGCTTGGGACAAGCCTTGGGACAAGCCAACGAACCCCACTGTGACAGGCAGCTGTGTGAGGCAGGACTCTCTTTAAACAAAGCAGGATGTTCTTTTTCTTTTTAAGTTGCTTTTTTTAAGATTTATTTTTTCTTTATTTGAATTACAGAGGGAGAGAGAGAGATCTTCCACCTGCTGGTCCAGTCTCCAATGGCTGCAACAATTGGAGCTGGGCTACACTGAAGCCAGGGGCCAGGAGCTTTTTCCAGGTCTCTCATGTGGGTGCAGGGGCCCAAGCACCTGGGCCACCCTTCACTGCTTTCCCAGGTGCTTTAGCAGGGAGCTGGATCGGAAGTGGAACAGCCGGAACTTGAACCGGTGACCATATAGGATCCTGGAGCTGCAGGCTGTGGCTTAACCCACTACACCACAAAGCCTTTATTTTTCTTTATTTTAAAGGAAGAGAGAGACAACTTCCATCTACTGATTCACTCCCCAAATGTCCCCCAAAGCTGGGGCCAGGCCAGGCTGGAATTTCATCGAAGTCTCCCATGTGGTTGTCAGGGACCCGAGTTTTTGAGCCAGCATCTGCTGCCTCCCAGGTTCTGCACTAGCAGGAAGCTGGATTC